CAGTGATTTACTGGCCTGAACAGTTACCACTTTTCCAACTTGTTCTGCGTCCTTCTTCAAGAGCTGGTACAATTCCAGAATTTTCCTGCGATGGGGGCAGCCTTCCTCATGGGCCTTGCCTACTGCTTCCAGGGTTCAGAGGGGACACTGCACGATGGACACAAACCCTCACTGAAAGGTATCACAAACCGTTTCTCGTACACAAGCCTCAGACCTTTCTTTGCCTCTCGCTCCCAATAGCTTAGCGATTTCAGTCGTTATTAACCTTGGGCTGCTCCTGAAATTCTCCTCGGGGTAGCAAGCGAGGTGGCGGAGAGGGCGAGACCTGGGACAGAAGTGCCTGCGGCCAACGTCCCCGTGAGCCACACAGATGGGGCAGCGCTCCCCCTGCTGGATGTGAGCCAGAGCTGATGTTTCCTCAGTCACCTGATTCAGGGGGTGTCCGCTGAGACCCCCACCCCCACCCACTACAAAGTGACTCCCCAACCCCTACCCAGACTCTGCCAGGATGCCCTCCTCACCCTGCCTGGTGGCACCCTCCCCCTCCTGGCTGATGGCTTTAGGACTAAATCAGGACTAGGGATAGGAAGGAGGGAAACGGGAAGAGAAAGAGCCTTCCTTCACTTTCAAAATTAAGCACGGCAATCACTAGTGATAACTGCTAACACTCATGACCACCCCGTGCCAGGCGCAGGCTGAGCACGTCACATACATTCACTCATTCACTTTTCATCACTGCCTAGGAAGTCGGTTATGTAGGAAACCCTACCACTGTTAGCCCCATGTCACGAACAGAATGGAAACACAGAGAGGTTACGTCACTTGCCCAGGGGTGCACAGCCAGTAGACGGCAGAACGAGGGTTTGCACCCAGTTGTCTGGCTCTCGAAGTGCCTTTAACCAGCCCAGCCCAGTCCACGTCTGCCCCCAGACCCCTCCGCAGGAGTGGCTCTTGCTTTGGCCATCGATGATGTCCCTGCTCCCAAATCTAACGTCCATCCATCCGGTGGATGTCGCCACCATCTGTCAGCAGTTGGCCCCTCCCGTCTTAAGATGTGCTCACTTGACTTCCCTGACACGACACTCTTGCTTTTCACCCTGCTGTTCTGAGCACCCTGTCCCAGTCTCCCTTGCCGGCTCCTTCTTCTCTCTCCTCCTCCTGGGGTTTGAGTTGCTCAGGGCTTCGGCCCCAGCTCACGTCTCTTTCCATTCTATTTCACATGTATTCCCACGTCTTAAAATATCACTGGTGTGCTGACAGCATCGATATTTCTCTTTCCAGCCCTCGCCTTTCTGTGAGCTGCCGAACTCACACCCAGCTGCTGACTTGGCATCTCCGCTTGGCGCTCTCTCCAGGGCATCTTGAACTCAACAGGTCCCAGCTGCGTACAGGGCTTCCTTCCTTAACCCTGTACCTCCGTCGGGTTTCCCCAAATGAATACAAACGTCACCACCCCGCAGCCAGCAGCTTGAGGCAGAAGCCAGGAGTGTCCCTCACTGCTCTGGCCCTCCTGTTCAGCCCACAGCTACGTTTTACTGCCTCTCCGTCTGAGGTCTGGAGGGCAGCGCACTTCCCTCCACCCTTAGCGCTTAATTCCAAGCCACCATCGCTTGCTCCTGGACTCTCCGGTTAGTCCCCTGCTTCAGTCCCGCCCCCCTCCATCCCTTCCCCACACAGCACTCAAGGGCCTTAAAAGCACACAACCCAGTCACATCAGTGCTCTGCTCAGGACGCTTCGTCCTTCCCACTGAGGATTAGACCTCAAGTGAACTCTGAGCCACACCTTGGCTTCCAGGCTCAGAACGCTGGGCCTCCGCTCGCTCGCCTGGTCATCCTCTTCTGCCACCATCCCCCTTGCCTAATTCTCTCCCCACATCACCCTCCCTCCCTCCCTCCCCCCTGCTTCTTCCCTCCCTCCCTCCCTCCCGTCTTCTTTCCTTTCCTTTCTTCCTCCCTCACTTCTTCCCTTCCCTCCCTTTCTTCCTTCCTTCCTCCCTTCTTCCCTTCCTTCCTCTCTTCCTTCCTTCCTTCCTCTTCTTTCTTTCTTCCTTTCCTTCCTTCCTTCCTTCCTCCTCCTCTCTCCCTTAATCCCTCCCTCCCCCTCCCTTTTCCTTTCCTCCCTTCCTCTTTCCCTTCTTTCCTCTCTTCTTTTTTTTTAATTTTAAAAAATGTTTTATTTATTTCTGAGAGAGAGAGACAGCATGAGCAGGGAGGGTCAGAGAGAGAGGGAGGCCCAGAATTGGAAACAGGCTCCAGGCTCTGAGCTGGCTGTCAGCACGAGATCAAGACCTGAGCCGAAGTCTGACACTTAACCGACTGAGCCACCCAGGCACCACCCCTTCCTTTTTTTTCCTTCCTTCCATTATTACCTCCCTTCCTTATTCCTTTCCTTCCTTCCTCTTCCTTCCTTCCTTTTCATCATTGTTTCTATGATGAGCGTTCCTGCCTCAGGGCCTTTGTATGTATAGGCTTCTTCCCACGTTATCTGCCTAAGGCACACTCATCCTTTAAGTCTTAAAGTTCCTGAGGGAAACCTGGTCCACTCACCATTACCTGAACTAAATCTGGTTCCCTCATCTCTCTCTCTCTCTCATTGGACTTCTCACACTTTGGTTTAATAAAATGTTGGCTTGCTACCGGACTCAGAGATCATCTCCCTTCTCTATTTTTATTCTCTAAGTCAGTAGTTCTCAACCCGAGGGATGGGCAGGGGTGATTTCGTTCCCCAGGGGACATGTGGCAATGTCTGCAGACATTTTTCACGGTCACAAATGGGAGTAGGACATACCAGCATCAAGACCCCCACAACAAAGAATTATCCTGTCTCCAAATGTCAGTAGTAGAGAAGCTGAGAAACTGCCCTGGGTGATCTCATGCACTCTCATGGTTTTAAATACCATCAATACGCTGGCGATTCCCAAATTTCTCTAACTCAGGTCTTGACCTTGAACTGCAGACTCATATACCTGACTACCTATTTGACAGCTTGCCTGGATGTCTACTAGCACATCAAACTCAACATGTCTAAAACTCCAATCGACCCTTCTAATCGCTAAGGCTAAAAATACTGGTGGGATTCCCACCTTCCTTCTCTCACGCTCATGTCAAGTCCACAGGCAAATCCTTCCAGCAATTTTCTCAAAGCTGATCCAGCCTTGACCCCTTTCCCCCACTTCACTGCCGCCGCCCTGGTGACTTCCACCATCTCTGACCTTGGAGCTGTCTCCCAGTTGCTGACCGCACACCTCTACAGTCTATTTTCAACTCAGCACCCAGAGTGACCTTTTAAAAAATGTACATAAATCGGGGCACCTGGGTGGCTCAGGCAGTTGAGTGAATGACTTCAGCTCAGGTCATGATCTCACAGTTTGTGAGTTCAAGCTCCGCATCAGGCTCGCTGCTGTCAGCGCAAAGCCTGCTTTGGACCTTCTGTCCCCCTCTCCCTTGGCCCCTTCCCAGCTTGTGCGGTCTCTCAAAAATAAATAAATCTTTAAAAAAAACTTTAAAAAATGTACATAGATCATATCACTCACTCCTCTACACAAAACCCTCCAGTCATTTCCCATCTTGTGGAAATAAAACCAAAGTTCTCACACAGCCTCATCTTTCGGTGACCTCCCAGACCTGAACTCCTACCACCGTCCCCTTTACTTTGGTGCAGCCACACAACACACTAAGTATGCTAATGCCTCAGGGCCTTTGCACGGGCTATTCCCTTTCCTGGAAAAATTTTCCCTCCAGATCGCTGCATAGCTTTGCTTCCTTGCTTCCTGTACATCTCTACATGAAGGAAGCCTTCCCTAACCACTCTATACAAACGGTAACCCCTCCTACCTCACCCTCCCTACCCTATTTTATTTTTGTCTAGAGGACCCATCATCATCTAACATACTACAAACTAATGTCTTGATCCGTTAATTCTGTTTCCCCACTCTCGCGTGTAAGTAGGAGCAAGTGTGTTCCATTCAGAGTACTATTGAATACTCTATGCCCAACACAATGCTTGGCACATGGTGAAGACAAATGTGTTCAGTGGATGAATATTCCCTCCAGTTCACAGATGAGATTCCGGGCTCAGAGCCCGGTTCTCCAGTTCTCCCTGCACCCACCCCCAACACCTGTGGGCTACCTCCCTTCCCTCTCCCCACACAGGAAGGAGAATATTTAAGAGTGAGGCACCTGGGTGGCTTAGTTGGTTAAGCGTCTGATTTCAGCTCAGGTCATGATCTCATGGTTCCTGAGTTGGAGCCCCACATGGGGCTCTCTGCTGTCAACACAGAGTCCATTTCAGATCTTCTGTTCCCCTCTCTCCCTGCCCCTCCTCCACGCACTCTCTCTCTCTGTCTCTAGATAAATAAACTTAAAAAAAAAAAAGATATTTAGGAGTGATAGTATAGTAATTTGGGGACAGGAGTGGAATTTAGTTTCTGGTAAGAAGAAATCCAAGGTGGAGTGCCTGGCTGGCTCAGTCTGTGGGCTCTTGATCTCGGGGTCGTGAGTTCGAGCCCCACGTTTGGTAGAGCTGACTTAAAAAATTAATTAAAAAAAAGAGAAACATATGAACTTTAGAAGAAGGGGGAGGAGAAGCGTGCGAAGACCACAGGAGACCCTGAGAGTTTGTGGGGAAATGTCTGAACGTGCACAGGCCCCCCGAGTCCACCTTGGCGGCATCCCAGGTCCAAGAACCATGATGGGAAAGGGAACAGCATGGGAGGTGAACTTGTGTCTCCCAGGCACCAACTTCTGGCTGCGCTGGGGTCCGCGAGCAGCCCTCCACCCACTGGAAGGCGGAGGAGCCACACCCGGTCCTGGCCCCGCTGCCTGGAGGATGCCAGCACAGCACCTGCGGGCCGTCGGCTCCAGAGGTCGTCTCGCAGGTTGCCCAGAGAGATCCCGGCTGGGAGGGGCGGTGGCTCCGCCCCCATGACCCCCCCCCCACGCCCCAGCCTGGATCCTCCCTTCCAGCCCAGCCCCTCCACGGCACCGGCCCCCCAACTCACTCTGCCACTCGGTGATGGAGATCATGACGCAGGCTGCCTGGGGGGCCTTCCGGGTCGACGCTGCTAAGGGGTGAGGCGCAATGAGGTCCGCACTTGTGCATGTTCAAGGGAAGCTGACCCTTGGTAAATTGTGAAACGGGCCTCTGGTAAATCATTAACTCCCTCCACTCTCCAAACCCCACCTCTCTCCCCTCCCCACCCAAATGGCTGCTTAAAGTCGCAGGCTCCCTTCTCCGGTATCTTCCCGGAGGGCACCAGCACCTGTCACACGCTCCGCCCACCCGGAGAAGGCAACGCCCACCTGCCCCCTCCAACGCCCCCACTCCCGCGCCCTGAGGCCAGTTTAGCTGTTTCCCCAAGTCCTCCGCAGAACTCAGACTGTCTAGTGGACTGGGATTCTCGGGGCTACCCAGGTTCCTTGCCTGTTTGGTGGGGGTGTGGCAAAGATTTGGAATCCGTGTTTCTCTTTGGAAAAGTATTCAATTCATTCTGCTGCTGAAGTCCGCTCCCTTGGCGCTAGTACCCATGCTAGACGCTAGGGGGCGGCAAGCCACCGAGTAAAACCTGTTGCTTGCAGATTCTGGGAGGGCCGCGTTGGGTTAGGGTTTGGGTTACAGCAAGGGCAAAAGCGCCCCAGGGGAGTTAGACACAAAGGGCTTCGACCTCCTTTCCCCCAGCGGTGTCCAGCGTTGGACAGTGAAGTTGAGCTAGGAAGGATGCAAGATGAATTTGGGCTTGGGGTAGGGCTGGACGGTTCCAGAAGCCTAGTTCTGAAAGTCCACCCCATCAGCTGTGTAGACATGGGTGCATCCTTTCCTCCCTCTGTGGGCCTGCAAAAAAGAGGAGTAGATAGTTCCTAACATCCTTTCTGCCACCGTAGAACCATGGCTCTCAACCGATGAGCAGGCATCCACTTGGTAATGATTCCTTTACCCTGAAATGAAGCTCATAGATTATATGACCAATCTACACGTGTCGTTTTATTTATTTATTTTTAGCGTTTATTCATTTTTGAGAGACAGAGAGAGACAGAGCATGAGCGGGAGAGGGGCAGAGAGAGAGAGGGAATCACAGATTCTGAAGCAGGCTCCAGGCTCTGAGCTGCCAACACAGAGCCGGAAGGGGGACTTGAACTCAGGAACCTGAGATCATGACCTGAGCCAAAGTCGGTTGCTTAACTGACTGAGCCACCCCGGCGCCCCAATCTACACACGTCATTTTTAGAAACACAAATAAAACTATATAAAGAAGGGAAAAATTATAATAAAGCACGATATCTCTCAATATATTAATGTTCAGGCAAGATTTAATGAAGACATAAGTGAAACAGGCAGATTGCTTGCACCTACTGATAATAAATACATTTAAACTTAAGAGAAATAGAAGACCAGAGTCATTATATACAAAACAAAATAAAAATATCCCCCTCCCCCCCAAGAAAATGAGAAAGTAGTAGGAAATGAACAAAAGAAGAAAAACTGTTAGGTAAATTACAACAGACCGAATGTACTTGCACATAAAAAGAGTAAGAGGGAAATAGCCCTAATTGAAAGAGGGATAACACAGCAAGGCAAAGTGGAGACAATGAGGAGGCACCATGTGAATGCAAATGAACCGGGTCTTCTGTGTGTATTGTTAAAATAGCTCCCGGTGCGGTGCTCAGGCGGAAACCTAGTAGCGCCGGCATATCACAGACACAGAGATCTCTGTCCTGAAATGCTATTGCGTGTTGGGGGAAAATTCAGTCTTGAACTTGGGCCTTGGAGGTCACGTATTTCCAATAAGCAGTGGGGAATGGAGGGTGGATCGGAAAGGGAAGTGGCTCCCTCAAACTCCACAAGGAGTCCGTACAACAGTTGTCCATCCTGGGACTGCAAAAACTTACAAAATCTAAAGAATGGCAATTCCTATGAAATCATCTCCAAAAACATTTATTAAGGAGATCTAATGAGATCTCCTGCATTTCAAGTATCTTTGCTGTAATGGTTGGTTCTCTCAGATCTTCTCTGTTAAGTGTTTTCAGTCAGTCTGTGCTTGCTCAGTAGGACCCTACTTGGGACTGTCTTCAGCCACGGAAACAGTACTTGAATGTTACGCTGCCTGGTGTGGAAAATGTATGCAGTCGTTTAACACAACAAGTTTTAGACCATGTCTTTATTCCACTTAAGTGTCTTCTCCATCAAGACCATCTTGTAACTTACCAAGTTATTCATGAAACTGATTTTAAAAAAACTTAGAAGCTTATACTTAGTACTGTTATGAACTGCAGTATGACCGACTTATATTAGAAGTGGGGTTAGGTCAATAGTACGTTTTAAATTCCTGTAGGATAAAAGAGAGTTATTGTTTTCGAAATTGGCTGGGTGGGTGCATAGCAGCCGCTACAAGCTCCTGGCAAATTTCCAAAATGTCCACTAGGGGGCGCTATCACTCCCATTGAAGCCATTGGTAGGTTAAGAGCTTCCTCCCTGAAGTCAGAGTGGGCCTGGGCTTTCACCCCAGCCTCGTGAGACCTTAGACATTTGATTTACCCTTTCTGTGCCTCAGCGTCTTGGGTGAGAGTAGTACCTGTCACCTAGAGTTAGAGCGAACACTGGTGAGTAAGTGCATGGGGAGTGCACAGAACCTGAAACCCAGCAACCAGTAAACACTTGATGAGCCACTGTTCTTACTCTTCCAGTAAAGTTGTGATAATTACTATTGTTATCAATATTACTAGTATTAGTATACTATTAAAAATGCTGTTATTGAAAGACTTCTCTCAAATGTGGTGCTAGGCTGCTCCCACAGGTGTATAAAATAGCAGTTTCCCCTCCCCCCACCATGGAGCTTACCTATGAGCTTGGAAGAAATGAACCCTCTTCAAAATGGGCCCTCCCAGCCTGGTTCCCGGATGCAGTGATGGGTCTAGGTGTCAGGCTGGGCCGGGCTTGTCCACAGACCAACCTCCTGGAGGGGAACCCTTTTCTTAAAAAAAAAAAAAAAAAAAAAAACAAACCCTGCTTTTTAAAAAATGTTTATTTATTTTTAAGAGACAGAGCATGAGCAGGGGAGGGGCAGAGGAGAGGGAGACACAGAATCCGGAGCAGGCTCCAGACTCTGCTTTGTCAGCACACAGCCCAATGCAGGGCTTGAACCCACAAACCATGAGATCATGACCTGAGCTGAAGTCAGGTGCTTAACTGACTGAGCCACCCAGGCACCCTGAAAGGATCCTCTTCTTCCCCAGGGAGGAGGGTGTGGGCCCTGGAAGGCTGGAGCTGGGGGAGCACCGGTGGGGAGGGGAGGGGCCTCAAAGGGCTGGACAGTAGGAGCCCTGGTGATGTCTTTGTCGAAGGCAGTGGAGCCAGTAAAGTGGGACTTTGGGAGACATTCTCCTCCTTCCCAGGGTGCCTATGCCATGTCACCACCGCCTCCTCACATTTGTAAATGAATCTGAGTTTTCAGAGTGGCTTCCATTCATTTTCCCATTCCGCTTTCTCTAGAAGTCTGTAAAATGATGGTTGATATCCCCATTTCATGGACCAGGAAACTGAGACGCAGGAATTTTGGTGGCTTGTCTAAAAACGTCAGGCAGCTTGGAGCAGGGCCAGGAAGGAGTGGGGGCTCAGGGCCGAGGGGGTTGTGGAGGGGGCCCTGTTCCTTGGTAGCAATAGGATCTGAACACTGGTCACCTGCCTGAGCCCGTCATGCCTCTCTCCAGAAAGAATACATGACTGTGAAGTTACAGAGCAATACTCTTGAGGGCATTCTGCTAGGTGCTTTCCCATCTACATGTCCTGACTGCAGCCCCCTTTTACAACCCCGGCCTGGTTCGATCAGAAGGCTGATCTGGGCTGGGAGTTGGAGCAGGCAGAGGTCTATGGGCATCGTCCTGGGAGAGCAGCCAGCCCATTTTGGGGGAGGGAGACACCCAGCCATGTCCTGTGCTCTCATGTCTCACCTCCTCCTCTCCAAAACGCAGGCTCTGGCCCGGACGGCGCTGCAGATAGACACAGGTCCTGGAGAGCCACAGGCTCCTGGGGCACCTCTTACAGCTTCAGCGGCCTTGGTCTTGAGTCTGCATCAGAGCCCAGTTTTCCCTGATTCACAGAGGACAACAGGGTTTCTAGCTCTCCTGGGGATGTTACAAATCCCCCAAATACAGTCATATTATTTGTTAAACATGCACGTACTCTCTACTAGCTCTTTAGGAATGAGAATAGGTGTCCGGAATTTGAAATCAGCCCTTAGAACCAGACTACAGTAAAACAGGGAATTAGAAGAGGCCTGCCTTCCCATCTCTTCTTTCTCAATGTTCTTCTCGCCCTTGAACCATTAATGCCTCCACCTCTCAGGCATCCGTTAGAGGCCCAGCTGAGGCCCGCCACTCTCCTGGGCTCACTTTCTGTTTTTAGTCTCCACCACATAGAATTCACAGGGCTTCTTGACTGTTACTCAAGATTTCAAATTGAGAAGCTCTGATAAAGTCCTTCACACTGAGGATCGATAACTGATAACCACAGAGTACCTGGCAAAAGACATAAACCAAAGGCATTGAGGCTGGATGAGTATAATTTGGGTGGCTCTTCTGATACCCCTCCCCAAATCATACACCTTCTTGTACCCTCAAGCAGAAATACAGGGCACTGTGTAGTGATCGAGAAAGCTGAAGGATTAATTTTCTTCTCCTATAGTTCTACGACAGTCTCAGAGACAAATCAATGGGAAGTTTCCAGGATCTGAATACTGATCTGATAACGTTCATTGCACAGGACCTTGAGATAAGTCTTTTTTTTTTTTAATTTTTAACGTTTATTTATTATTGAGATAGAAACACAGCATGAGCAGGGGAGGGGCAGAGAGAGAGGGAGACACAGAATCTGAAACAGACTCCAGACTCTGAGCTGTCAGCACAGAGCCTGATGCAGGACTTGAACCCATGAACCGTGAGATCATGACCTGAGCCAGAGTCAGATGATCAACTGACTGAGCCACCCAGGTGCCCTGGGACAAGTCTTGATTTGGGACTACCCGGACAGAAGAGATGCCGGTGGTTGGCAGCGTACCACGGACCCAGCTTTGCTTTTAGCCAGGGAAGGCTCCATCCCAGACCCTCTCCCCTCTTCTGCCGAGCTTGTAAATAGCCACGAACCGCAAGGCCAGCCTCAGGCAGTCACAGAGTGCGACACACACACTGCTTGTACAAACCATTCATTTTATTTCCTGTATCGGATTTATACAAACTTGCAAGATACAAATGCAGAGCTCACTGGGATTCTTCAGTACCTATAATCTAAAAAGAATGTTGCGGAGCAGAGAAGCAAATGCTCACCTATCAGTCAGGATGCCCCTCCCCGGGGAGGGGCTTGTTAGCTAGGAAGATGCTAAAGGGGCTGCTACAGATGTTTGGTCCCCCAACAGAGATGCCCTCTGTTTACCTAACTTTTACTTTTCTTCTAAGGTCACTTTTATACTAAATAAAGACACTGAGATCATACATTTCCTTGTATGGTTTATTTAGTCTAAGACTAGCAAATCAAATTGGCCCCAGTATGTGCATAAATAGATATATGTATATATACGTATATTTCATATTTTCCTTAGTTTTAAGAGCTGCCAGGTGGGGGGGAGTGCCTAAAGGGGAAAGGAATTGATTCCGTCTTGCTATACTCAGCCCTGCCCCAGAACATGCCTTTCACCAAGGCAGGAGACCAAGTGTGCACAGCTGGCGACCTCAGAAACTCTTTAAAGTGACAGTAGCAGTATTTGATTACAGCCTCTTGGTTATTGATCAGGGAGGTGATGTGCTAATTGGGGAGGACCTCGGATAGTAACCAGAGCTGTCTCCTGGTGGGTCACTTAGCCCTGGGCCTCCGTCTGGGCCCCGTTCATTCATAACAGGATGCTCCAGGCTGGGAATAGGGTGTCCGTGAAAGTCAAAGTTGGGAGGTCAGGCTTCAAATGCTAGCCAGGAGCTCTGTGACAGTCCCAAACCTTTGATTCCAGATCTGGACAAAAGACTTCCGTTCTGCCCGAATCCTTGCAAGGTGAAGAGCCCCTTGTCTACTTTGTGGGCTGAGAAGCCGTGTGGAGGGCTGGGCCGGTGGAGTTCAGAGCCCAGGCGGCAGCCCGCCTCATGAAAGTCCCGGGGGGGGAGGGGCTTCCTGGGCAAGGCTGAGATGTTACCTTGTCTGTGGGGCTCGATTCAGCCCAGAAGCTGACTTCACAGTCTGGGTGCCAGACCGAGGTACCGTCCCCTTAACGACAGCCCCCAGAGGAAAGGTCACAGAGGGAGACAGAGGTCGTAGATGTGACCCAGACCAGAAAGGGATCAAGGAGTGTGAGAAGTCCAAGGAACTTGAATGTGTCTGTGCTGGAGGGCCTGTGATCCCAGACTGTTTTCCTTTGGCCTTTGCACTGCCTCCTGACTCCATCAGGGAACAGGTTTCTTGGTGCTGTTTACCATCGGCTGCCGTGAAACTGTCTGCCCCTTCCAGCAGACCGGTAAAGGGAAGTGGTCCAGGAGCACACTGGGGCCGCGTGTGTGCCTGCACGGGTGTGCTTCAGTGCACACAACTGTAAACATTTCCTTTGAGGGGATTCACATCCCGTAACCCTAGCGGGTCATCAAGAGTTGACAGTTGTAATCAGATCCTTAGACCAGGACTTCCAAGACTGTGTCCTGCCCTGGTGCGAGGCTCTCCGGGTGAGCTCCGGGGACCAGCCCTCTGCAGGCTGGAGAATGGGAGGAGGAAGCCGCCGGGGAAGAGGAGAGGACAAAGGGTTGGACCTCGAGGCAGCCAGCCCAGTCTCCGCCCACCATTGGCCCATTCCATTCAGACATTGCACATTTTTGAAAATAGATTTGCTTTTATAACAAAAGCATAAAATAGCTCTGTCTGTCCTCTCCCCTTCTTTGGATCAAAAGGCATGGGGTGTGGCCACAACCTGCTAGGAATGGCGTGGAAAGTGAAGGAGAGAAAATGGGCCTGGGTAGGAGTCCTGGGAAAGGATCAGACATCCAAACAAATATATATATTATGTATATATCTATAATATGTATAATCTTCATAAAACATATATTAAGGCATGTAAAGCAACATAAAGAGCCAGCTTTATGAAATAGGAGGTGAGAGCGAGGTTGCAGAGAGGTGCAGACATTAATCCTTGGTATTTTACATGTATTTCTAAAAATATCACTTAAAAAAGGGAGAGACAGACAAAAAAAAGGGGGGAAGGCCTGGAAGGCCCCCAAAGAGCTGTTTCTTGTGGGCAGAGAAAGGCGTCAGAAAGAGGGAGAGCCAATCCCACCCTCCAGAGTGTAAGAGAGAAAAACAAAACAGGTTTGGGGTGCTTGAGCTGTGCTAAAGATGGGAAATGTAGCCAAAGATCACGTTGAAAACATCTGCTGGAAGTGAAGTGGAATTCCCCAGCCTGCAGTCCCTCCGACGCACGAGAATATCCTAAGCACCTAGAACAGTGCCTGGTACATAAAAGGTGCTCGATAAATAGTTGTTGAATGAATTGCCATCTTTACTTGCATATGAACCAGTAACCGTCCCAGCCGTGAAGGAGTGGAGAAGAGTTGGTGGCAGCTAAAGTAGTTGTTCTTGGGGCCGCTGGAGGCTGAAGTCTCCGAGCATCAACTCTAGCAAAGAGAAGCCCCGGGGGCCAAGGTTTTTCCCAGCTTCACCGTCTCCCCTCCCTCTTCTCTGGCTAGTCCTTGAAGATGAGCGGCAAGAAGGAAGAATGAGGTTTGCTTCTGTGTCTCCTCCACTGGCCTCCATGGGTAGGTGGCTTGTGAGACAGCCAGGCTGGAAGGGAGTCCTCCCGTACAGCCTCATCTGGTCCTCGTTGGAGGGGAGCCTGGAATGCGGGGTGGGGTCCTAGAATCTGGCCTCCCAGATTAAGGCTGCATTCCCTCTCCAGGGCACATGCTCAGCTGGCCCACAGCACATTCCAGGGGCAAGGGGGGCAAGAAAATGTCCTGAACAAGGTTAGGAAAGGCCCCGAGGCTGATTACACCCTATGGAAGACAGGTGCTTCTCTCTGACCCTGAGCCTAGTAGGGGAGGCAGACACCAGGCCCAGATCTGGAAAGAACCATCTTCCAAGCTGCTCACCCACACGAGCATCCCTGCACCTAGGACCCTACGGCCTCAGGCCCCCTGTGCTTGTGGGCGGGTCCTCCCGGAGCCAGCGTGTGGGCAGCCCTCGGATCTGGGGGACCAGGTGGGGGAGCAGAGCTGACAGTCTGGCACTGTACTTGGCACTAAGCTAAGGCTCCATCCTGGGGAAACCAATCCCATAACCCCCTTTTCCATCTCTGCCTTGTCCTCTTTCTTGCCGACGATTCCTGCCGCTTCCTCATCCTCCCTCCCACTTGCCTCCGACCCTCCCTTTCTCTCTTCCAGCCCTTCTCAACCTGCCCTTGGACGCTGCACAGACCTGCATGCTGCTTGCTCTCTACCCACAGCCAGCCCTGTCCCCTCCGGGGGCCGAGAAGCCTCTCCCCATCTCGTCGTCTTGTCTTTGGCTCAAGCAGGGTGGTCAGTCTCCACCGGACCCCGAAAGAGCACCCGTAAGCAGAGATGCGTCAGAGCCTTGGGTACACCTGGGGCAGCAGGGTGGGGCCGATGGCGGGAGGATGCGATGGCAGGCGCCGTCTTCAGTGTCAAGAGGGCCCAGGAGAGGCAGAGTGTCCATCTTCTCCTCCCCGTAGTCCTAACCTAAGACAGCCCAGGGCGTCTTTCCCACCGGGGCATCCTCTTTGTCAGGGAACGTTCCAGGAAGGCCATCACAGGCCCAGGCAGGGCCAGGCCTCGCTCCTGGCGACTCGGGCCCCAGGCAGCCCCTGCCCGCCCTCTCGAGCCCTGGCCAAACTGCCATCTGAGTAGCGAGGGGCTTCAGGGCCGGGCGTGGCGACACTGAGGTATCCCCCGGCAGCGGCAGCGGCAACCCCGGCCCCCAGCCTGGCTCCCTACAGCGTCCCCACAGGAGCGCCGGCGCAGGGGGCCAGGGTGGGGAACCAGGACCTCAGTGGGCGGAGGCGGCCTTCAGAACGTGGCTCTGTGGAGCTTCACACCGTTGGCCTCGGCCAGGGCTTGCACTAAAGAAGAGAGAAGCGGGTAAGAAAGGTGCTGCCCAGAGGAGAAAGGACTCCAGCCAAGCTTGCCTGGGAGACAGAAGTCTCTTCCTGTAGAACCCTGTGAAACCCGCCCCCCCCCCCCCCCCCCCCACCCGAAGGGGGAACATGGAAGTCTGTGTTCTCTTCCGCTTGCCTGATACTGAGCGGCCGTGTGCTAGGGGAGAGCAAGGTGCACAGCCTTTGCTACAGTTTCCGATGGGATTTTAATTGGCAGGAAGATCTGGTGGGAGGGTAATCGGGGACTTCTGAGGCAGGACTGCTGGGTATCTCAGCAGGTAGAAGGCTTGTTGGCCCACAGAGGTACAGGGGAGGGAGGCTTCAGCTCTGTCCCTGTCTGCTTCCAGAGAAGCAAAGCCCACGGGCACTGTGGTACCAAGCAGCGGCCCTGCCAGCAGGGGCCAGCCCAGCACTGTGGGCTCAAGCAGATGGAGGGAGGGGAAGGAGCAGCACGTGGTGGGGGGGGGCCACTGGGGGTGAGGGAGAAGCGATGTTGGGATGAAGGGGTGTAGATGGCTCATGCGGGTGGGGGGGTGGGTGTAGATGGCTCATGGGGGTGGGGGGGTGGGGGACCCACTCCCCGCGGTGGATGAAATACAGAAGAAAAGTTCTTACGTCCGAGCTCAGACCCGCATGGCATGGCTGCTGTCGGCGCCCCGTGGGGGTTCAGACGCTAGGGGGTTGGCTGGTGGAGTCGGGGAAGCAGGGGAGGTGGGAGGACTTGGGGTGGCACATTGCACTGGAAACAGAAATGAACAGGGAGGTGAATAGGGGTGGGTGGGGAGGGGAGGGGTGGGGAGGGCGGGCACCCAGAGCAAGCGAGGCCCTTCGCTGGGCAGAGCGCCAGGCAGAAGGCAAGCAGAGAGGAGAGCTGAGGCGGAGCTGGCCTCGTTTCCGGGTGCCCCCGGAGGAGCGTGGGTCCCCGAGGAGACAGGTGACTGCAGGCTCTGCTGAGAACCAGTGTGGCTGTGGGCGAGGCTGGCCTCTCTGGGCAGAGGCTCCACTCCCATCCTTACGATGGGGAGATGGTGTGGATAGGACCCGTGATGGCACCTTACACACAGTGGTATCATGACCAATAATGATGAATAGTGCAGTAAAATCACACTAACCCAGATCGTCAGGCCCCCCATCTAACGACTGGATCCAAGCTGTCACCGGGGGGGATCCCCTCCATTTAAATGGATGCGTCCAGCCGGGCTGAAGTGAGCTGTGGGAACTTAGACCAGTTCAAGGTCTTGGAAACAGCTCCCTGTGCGCACTGGGGAACCCCCTCTTCCTCAATCGTGGAAGGGCAAACTTTACCCCTGAACAAATCATGACAAACCTTAAACTGGTGACATTTGAATTAATGGATTTTACTCTTATTATCATTATGGCTCCATGCCGAGAACAGCAAAGTGGAAGGAGAACGGGAAGGGGTGGGGTCGTACTATGAGGGACAAGTTCTGTGTGGTCTCCAGGCCCCTGTGCACCCAGGTGCGTCTGTGGGGCAGAAGACTGGCAGACAGAATGTCCTCCTTTGGCCTCAGAGAACCAGACCTCAGCCAGGGTCACACTGTTTCCTCCGAGAGAAGGATCCTGGCATCAAACTTCCTAGTCCCTTGCTCTCCCCCCTGCCCGGACCTCAGCACCTTCCCTCCCCTCTGTGCAAGAGAGAGGCCGGGTGCAGCTCACACCACATATATACGTACACCCACAGTTGTATATAAGACCTAGAAGTTTCTCCTGAGCGGGAAGCTGTGTCTGCCCACACACAATACATAGTTTGTGCACGAGATCCAATGCTATCTCCACACGCACTGTGCATGACTCGGATATGTGTGTCTGTGTGCTTCCAAACCTGTACTCTTCCACACGGCCCAACACACGCATAGCTTCACATACAAACACACTTGCAGACGCTTTCGAAACACACATCGGTGCGTATGTCTGTATGGTGGACCCAACGGTTAGTTATGTGGCAGCTTCAACTTCTAAAATCGTCAAAAAGATAAAAAACTAAGCAAGGGCTATTTCAGGAGAGCCAAACAGATGTTCCAACGTACATGCAGCGAGGCTCTTACAATTATTCATAGATGGGCTCCTTGCAGTCCACAATCACTGTTATTCTCTACCGTTCTAACACATGTTGACCTGCTGGGTTTCTACCCCATGGGAGATCAGAAACAGGGAAATTAGGGGAGAGAGAAGAATCAAGGTACCTACTGACAGCTAGAAGAAGATACGATGGAGGAGAAAAAGTCTTTTATAAAATTAGATATAAAACCTGTAAAAGTGTAATAGTTTGGGACTGTTTAGCATAGCTACAGTCTGTTCCAACTATACCCCTAAGGGCATTCCCTTCAACAGAGCAGCAAAATAAGGATATTTATAATGATACTAAATTAGCAAGAGCAAGAGAGATGGATTACATTAAAGGTAACTTCTCTTAAAAATTTTTTTTAAATGTTTTATTTATTTCTGAGAGAGAGAGAAAGAGGCAATGTGAGCAGGGGAGGGTCAGAGAGAGAGGGAGACACAGAATCTGAAGCAGGCTCCAGGCTATGAGGTGTCATTACAGAGCCCGACGCGGGGCTTGAACCCACGAACCATGAGATCATGACTTGAGCCAAAGCTGGACGCTCAACGGACTGAGCCACCCAGGTGCCCCCCGTTAAATGTAACTTCTTAAAGGAAGGCAGCAAAGTACTCAATACCTATAAGGAATATATGCATTGAAATAGTTACAATTCACACGTGTAGCAGCTATGTATTGGACAGAGGTGATATTGTAATTGTGTGTCCACAAGTACTACCACGTCTGCACGCATAAATAATCGGTCACTGGGCACCTAGGAGGCTCAGCCGGTTGAACATCCGACTCTTGATTTTGGCTCAGGTCACCAGCTCAGGGTTCATGGGATCAAGTCCTATGCTGGGCTCTGAGCTGACAACACAGAGCCTTCTTGGGATTCTCTCTCTCCCTCTCTCTCTGCCCCTTCCCTGCTCACACACTCTCCCTCTTTCTCAAAATAAACAAACTTTTAAATAAATGAACAAACAAATAAATGGTCACATGTGCTCTCTCCCGTCCTGCACACACAGATATAGAAGTATTGCAACGCATACACTGTATACAGCCTACGCACAAATGTGTTTTATCATTCCCAATACTGCAGAAAAAGCCAATCACACATAAATACATACATTCATAAACAACTACCTCCATCCTTATATTGTACACTCATCTATACATATTTAACTCCAATGGTTTACTAAATGCCACCTATACAAATAATGGTCTCCACACCATCTCCATAGACATCTTGCACACACATACACTCACATCTCGCCCCACACACTTGAATACACACAAATCCATGTGTATCTGCTAACATTACCCAGATGCAGATGCCGCACACACACAAATTTAAAATTGCCGCATCTTCCCGTATACACCATACTCGAGTCAGCCCACGCTGGGTATACCGACTAAAGCCATAGCGCTCGGCACTGACTGCACACCCGCACTCAGGCACCACTATGGCCGGGGGCCCAGTGCTCAGGTCCCAGGCTTGGACCTACGCCCGCATTGCATGTGCCCAGGGACGGTCCTTTCTGTCCCTGGCAGAGTGGCAGCTCAGAATCTGGGCCACAGGCCAAGGGGCGGTGGGGACAGTAGGCTTGCTTAGTCTGAGGTCTGGCCCCGCTGTGCCATTTTTTAAATAGTTGGGGTTTTGGCAAAGGCAAAGTGCTGGTTTGCTTTCAGCGTGCAGACCCTGAAATGTAAGCTGGTGTGTATCGAGAGGGAAATCTGATAGGCTGGGGGGTAGGGGGTTCTGTTTTCATGGAAACTTTGGCTGGGAGACTGGAGTCAAGAGAGCTCGGGGCGGGGGCGAAGGCAGAGGCAAGTTTTAAAAACAGTGTTGTGTGCTCTACCCCTTGAAACGGGAAGTTGCCTTTTGCCCAGAGCATGTGGAATTTGATCTTTGGAAGATTCAAGTTCGCTTTACAGATGAACTACAGAGAGGTTAGATAGAGGCCTCAGTGCGGCCAAACTGGTTTTGCTGCCCTTGGCTGCAGGATGGGGCTGTCTGAAGCCTGCGCCTTCTCGGGTCCTCGACTCCCGCTCAACTGACAGCTTCTCTCTGAAACACCTCCAGGGGTCTTCCTTGGTCACCCATCCAATGTCCCTTAGACCCTAACTGCCAGTAGGTTCTCCATCAAGGTGTACTTAAATCCCTTTGTTGCTGCTGAAAGCCCTCTGTCTTCTAAAAATATCCATATTTAAAATAGCTAGAAAAGCCACAAACAGACCCTACTTCTCTTTCAGCTATTGCTATTTCAAGGCGTACTACCACCGTCACGACTACATCTGGCTAGCATTATTGAGCGCTTACTAAGTGCCAGGGACTGTGCTAGGTGCTGAGCACTTATGGTTGACATCCCTCGTACCACAAGGCAGGTATTTTGATTTGAATTTTACAGATGAGGAAATGGGAGTCTCAGAAAGCCAGAATTCAAACCCCTCTTAATCACCAACATGAAACGTCATCCCTTCCACCAGGCTCCTGGCCACAGTCCTGATCTGCTCATCGCCTGCCCCTCGCCCAGGCTACCATCTCTGGCCAGCACCCCCATCTCTGCCTCCTCCTCCACCAAAGCCCTTGTAAACCCGGCATCCTTCCTGGGCATCCCTCTCGACTGGCCTTCACAGCTCTTCTTTTCTGTCCTAACCAACTTTTATCTTGGGGACGATGACATACTGTGTCCCCCAGGCTTCATGGAGTCTTGGAGTCTCTTCCGTTCTTCCTGATTCCATTCTGACCTTTGTTGAGGCTGTATCTCAGGCTGACTAAGCCTCACTGTGTCTACCTGGAATCCTCTCCCTTTTGTGTCAGCGTGAAGTCCATTCCTCATGCTCATCTTTAATTAGCAGAAAAGTGGGTTTGGGTCGGTAGCCAGAGTGGTGACTGCATCCCTCTCGACTCTGTGGCTACCTGCGGTGCCTCCACCTTCCCGCGCGCGTGCAGCAAGAAAGGGCGGTGAAAGGGTGCCCTGATGCCTGGCTCTCATGCCACGACTGGTGAATGCTTCTATCGCTCCCAATCAGACTCAGTTATCACCTGTTTGCCGTGCCTTTCCTTGAGCTGCCCACGTGGCATGGGGCTCCCTTGCTTTCTGCATGGCCTCTGGCCATTCCTCTGTAGATCTGCTAGTAGGGTCACCATGGCTCTGAGTTCCCACCTGCAACTTTGGCCCCTCTGCACCCCACGGAGCCTAGCACAGTACCTGGTGCTCAACAAATGCTGATCCTGATCTTGACGGTCTCCCTGGCCCTCTCTATCCCTGGCCCCCTTGCAGCACTGAGCTTCCTCCCCTGCACCTGGTCAGCCAGTCTCCCTGGAGGAGTGAGGCCCGGCCCCTCTCACCAGACAGCATGCGGCCCCGGCGGGAGGCCTCGGTCGCCAGGGCACAGGAGATTTCAATCCGCTTCTCCTGCTCCTGCAGCTGGCTCTCTGAGTCCTGCGGCATGTCCACAAGGTCCCCCTCGCCGATGGGCACCACGTTCTGCATACTGAGGAGGCACAGACACACAGACGTGGAGTGGGGGGGGATGGTCCTATTGGCTTGGGGGTGGGGGCTGTGGACTGAGGCTGGCAGAGTGGCCAAAGGCCTGTGAAGGGGTGAGTGGGACCCTGGCAAAATACATTTTGGGACCCCCCCCCCTGCAATGTTTTAACTTAAATTAGAAGGTTCAGGTGAACACTTAGGGCAGCCTTGATGAGGAAGAGAAGTCACCAGAGGGCAGCCCAAGAGTTTGTCTTGATGACAGCACGTGCCTGCACCCAGCTGTCCTTCTGATGCCCAATGGCAGTAGCATCTCTGCCGTCTACTGCCTTGAGCCACTGCCTCCGTCTGCTCCCCGCTGGGGACACTCGGGGCTCCCACTGGCATGGGATGGGGTGCTGGAGTCAGTGACACTAGCACCCCAGGTGCCCTGGGTGCCAGGGCGGGCAGATGACGTCGAGGTTCACTCAGGCCCGTTACCTGGACTTGGCAATGAGCGTCTTGATCCTCTCCACCTTCTTCTGCTTCTCCTTCAATTCCTCGGGGCTCAGGGGAGTATCGGGCTCCAGGTCAATGTACCGTTCAGGGATGAGGACTTTGTCTGGCGTGGACAGCTGCGGAGGGACCTGAGTCAGCATCCGCATCCCACCGCCTTCCAGGCATCCCTCCCCCGCTGCCCTCCTGGGCTTCACTCACCTCCTTATTGATGTCCACGTCATAGTGCTGGGGCTCCAGCTCCATTTTGCGAAGCCGGGCGATTTCTTCCCTCGGCGTCTCATAGGCCTGCCCCCCGGGCTCCTCTGCCCTCAGGGCTGCCTCCAGGTTGGAGATATCCACCTCATGGATGCTACGGTGACGGCGCACCTAGGGGACAGCACCGCCGTGACCACACGGGGCCTTTGTCCCGCTGCCGGCAGCCATTTCCCCTGCAGCCCGTGTGTCCGGGCAGCGCAAACCAGGCCTCTGTCCTCTCTGCTCGTCGCGCCCCATCTGGCCACCGCCCCACGGCCCCACCGCCCAGTTATCTTCCTCCCAGGCTGCTCGTCCAGAGCCTGCCCGCCTGCAAAGGTCCAGAGGTAAAATCTCATCAATGTGTCTCATCAGTATTTGCTACTTCCATCTGGCTGTAGCCTGTGTTCATGTTCTGTGCCACACATTTTGGGCAGTTGATTACTGTGTCTTACGTCAGTCTTTAGTTGTTTCATATCAGAGAAGCTCCATTCCACCAAGCAGAATGTAAGCTGCTTGAGAGGGTAGGACTTAGGAATCAAAGTTTTCCTGTATTTCTGAAATGTGGTGGGAAAAAAACTTGGGCAGATGCCTGGGGCCACTCCCAGCTCCACGCTCAAGAGCCATGTAGCCCAGGAATCCTTAATTTCTCCTGATTCTGTTTCCCTACCTCTAAACCAGGGGTGATCATTCCTAAGCAGGCACTGCCGAAGACCCAAATAAAACAATGTGAGGTTTGTGAACTGGACCAGGCAACAGTCGCCGTCATGATTATCTTCAGTAGCCCCAGCCCAGTGCCAAATACATAGGAAATGCTCTAGAAGCATGCAGAAGTGATGGCTCTCTCTGGGCGGTGAGTTTTGCGCTATTCTGTATTAAATGAATTTTGCGTAATTCATTTCAACTGAAACAATCAACGCGTGCTTTTGGGGGAATTGTTTTACTTTAAGCGCACAAAAAAGGAATGCTTGTTGCAATATACCTTCTGCCTAATGAGGAGAAGCCTCCCGCAGTTCTCCCCAGGTGCCCCCCACCCAACTGCCCCTGGCCCAGGCTGGTCACCCACTGGGGGTGGGTGCTGCGGGCAGAGCTGGGCCATGTCGGTGGGTCGCCGTGAGGACATTACCACTTTGTAGGCAGGCCGGGTAGCGGGGTCGGGGGCTGGGCTGGCCGGGAGCTGCAGGCTCCTTCGCTTCTCCTTCATAGAGCCGCTCTGGTGCCTCCGCATGCGGTCAATCTGCTCCTCCACGCTCATCTTGACCTTGCCCTCACCAGGGAACACAGCGCTCTTGGGGCGCTCCTGCTGCAGCGGGAGAACGGGGCTCTGACAGGTGCCCTCCCAGCTTCTTCAGCGGCCCTAATCCCTTAACGTTCCCTTCTCTGGGAAGCCTGTCCATAGTGGGTTAAAGAATAGCTCCTAAAACATACGTCCAAGTGCTAACCCCATAGTAACTGTGAATGTGACCTTATTTGGAAATAGGGTCTTTCTTTGCAGCAGGTGTGATTAAGGTAAGGTTCTTAAGAAGAGATCCTGAATTCCAGTGGACCCAAAATCCAATCTTGGGGGTCCTTACAAGAGACAGTACAAAAGAAGACAGAATAGAAGGAGATGTGAAGGTAGAAGCAGATATTGGAGTGTTGTGGCTACAAGCCAAGGGACAGGGAAGATTGCCTGCAGCACCAGAGGCTAGGACAGAGGCATGGGACACGTGCTCCCTCAGAACCTCCAGAAGGAACCAACCCTGATGACCTCAATTTTGGACTCCTGGCCTCCACGACTGTGAGAGAATAAACTTCTGTTGTTTTAAGCCCCTAAATTTGGGGTGCTTTGTTAATTTCCTCACAGCCCTAGGAAACACATCTACACCTACTGCCTTAGGTCGGCTCATTTGACCCTAATGTTTGCTGGATTTGTATTTCATCGCCGGCACATTATAATCCTTCTGTTAAATATTCTTCTTGTCTTGAATTAGGGCCACAGCAAATTGAGAATTATAGTCAGATAAGAACAATGCAAGTAACGTGTGTCTTCCTTGCCCCTTGTCCCTCGATACGTCTCCCTGAAGGAAGGCGTCTCCAGTGAAGCTCCTGCTCCCCCTCCCACGTGTCCTGCCTTCCTCCACCCGCTCGGGGACAGATGGGTGGACACAGAGGGGCGCCAGCCAGCTCAGGCCCGCTCAGGCCGCGGAGCCCGCAGATTGTACTCACCCGGGAGGAGAGTCCATTGGTGAGCGCGTTGGCACCCCTCCTCACCACCCTTGACGGAGTTCCCTCTTCATCGGTGGGTGACTTTGTCCGAGGAGGCACAATGCCAACTATAGGGAGACAGAAGAAACAGTGGGCCTCCTGGAGAGCAGGAGGGCGGACAGACAGGGGAGCCTGTTTCTAGAGGAGGCTCGGTCCCACCCGTGGCAGAGAGGAAAGGCCCCGGATGGGTGGCCCCTCACCGTCTTTGGCTGGGAATGAGCACCTCTCTGGGCTCCTCTCTGACTCTTGGCCTTGCTTAGCCTAGGAGGGTGGGTCAGGAAGTACCTTTGTTGAGAGCTGCCTGCTTCTCTGCCTCCACGTCTTGCCTGGCGGGCACAAGGTTGATGTCTCTAGCAGTGTCCAGGGGTGACGTCTGGTGGGGGTCTTTCTTGATTTGCTCGTAGCTTGCCTTGGGCTGGGGGGAGAAAGGACGTGATGCCTGGTGCTGTAGGGGCTGCTGGGGACTTGGCCCCCAGGGATGTTTCTTTGTTCTGCAATGGTTGGAGCACAAACCCTTGAAAACAAGGGCTAAGGAAACTCGAAGTGAGCCAGCCGGGACGCAGGCAGAGGTGAGAGCGAGCCTCCCACCCATGCCACCTTATGGCTGGCCAATGCCGGCTCACCTTGGGGGGTGAGGGCTCAGAAGGCCAGTCCTTGGCACACGCCAAGAAGCACAGACTCTGCTGGGAGCCCGAGAGGAGGAATGGCCAGAGGAGGGGCCGATAAGGCTGGGGATCTCTGAGGGCTTCATTGGGGTCCCGCCCCCAACTTCAGCAAAAGAACCAGCTGGGCTTTGGTACCAAGGTTCCGGGCGACAGAAAAGTGCATTTAGCTTGAGGGCTCGCAGAATCATGAGACGAGGAGGGGCCTCAGACACCACCTGCACCCCTTTTGCTCCCATTGGGCGCTGAAGAGTCTAAGTGTCAGAGCGGGGCACACAGAGAGATAGGGCCAGAGGCCAGAAAGGCCAGCTCTAGTCCGGGGAGAGACACGGGTAAGCCCGTTTTAGGCACAGGACCCCTTCTACTCACCATGCAACTTCTTGCCCAACTAACTGCCCCTGTCTCCTGGGAGAGAGGCAGGAAAGGGGGCCCTTATTTTTACATCCCAGGGCTGATAAAACCCAAGAGAACAGGGGCAAGGCAGAGACAGAGACAGCACGGGAGGGCCGGGGTCTGAGGTGGACAGGAGCAGAAACGGATCGGAGCGGCACCCATCGCTGCAGGTCCCTGGATTTTCCTTGCCGGCTGGTGCTGGCAGGAAGTGGGGCCACACCGGCCCGCACAGCCAGCGGCTCCCCGGGAGCCGCGGCATGGAGTAGGGCAACTAACTCATCGTCCCTCTGTCCGCAGAGAGGTGCAAAAGGGGGAAAGCATTTTCCGCCATCCCTTTCCTTATCCCAGAGTCCGACGGGGCAGCTGTGGGAAAATTAATACTGGAATGGGGAAAATGGCTCTGTGCGCTGCCTTGCCCCCTCGCCTGGCTGTTCGCCCCGCTCCCGCCGCCCCTGCCCTCCAGGACCCAAGGGTGCTGGGTACCTGACCCCTAGCTGGCTCGCCACTGCGGTGCCAGGAAGGGGAGCTGGGGTACGGCCAGAAGCGGCTCTCGCTAGGGAGTGGAGGCACTTTTGGAGGAGACTCCAGGGGGACGTAGGCTTTGGGAAGGGGGGGCCGTGGCGGGCCGGGCTCCTGAGGCAGAGAGAAGCCAGAGCATTAGGAGGAAGGAGAGCAGCCACTGTGAGAGCAGGAGAAAAGAGCATTAGCAGGGGGACAGACGACGACATCGTGGAGACCTGTGGCGGGCCCCTGGACCACCGACTCCCAGCTACCACCCAGATGCAGCCCTAGTTCTGGGGCGAGCCCTCAGCCCGGCCTCAAGCAGAGACCCCACCTGTGCACTGCTCCCCACTGTTGCCCCACTTTTCTCCAAAGCTCCCTGCTCACTGTCTCACCGGCACGCTGGGCCCACTCGTGCCCCGTGTCTTGGCTTCTGCCACCCCTCCTGTCTGTGATGCCTTTCCCTCGTTCCTGCACCTGTCCCAATGCTTAGTGGCTCGAAGTTCCATCGTCTCGGGAATACGGAGCATTTCCGGTCAATACTGAGACACATACCACCAGGCCCCAGAGGCTGGCTGTTTCCTATAAATTGGTGTGGGTTGGCACCGGATGCTGGGTCCCCAAGTGGAGGGCCGTGGGCATGCACATGTGCATTTCGGAGGCCTCACACCGTCCCTTCCCCTGATAGAGCCCCTGTAAACACGTGCTGACTGGCTAGGAAACTGCTCCCCACCCTGACCCTCGACCCTCTCATGTGCTGGAAAGATCCCGGCTTTAAATTCCCATGAAGTGGTATCTTTGTTAACCACCCTGGTGTTTGGGAAGAGAGTTCCCCGGAAGGAAGCTACAGATGACAAATGCAGATGAGCACAAGGAAAGGAGAAATCTGGAAGGAGGCCCGCCCACCTGGGCGTGAGGCAACGACCGCGTGAGACAGAAAGCCAGAGCTCCAGGACTCGCGGCCTCTGGGGCAGAGAGGGGCGCAGAGTTGGGGTCTTTCAGGCAAATGAGGACCTGCTCCTCCCCTCACCCTCCCACCTACCTTCTACTCCACTTTCTCAGCTTACCTCGGTGGACCCGGGCTTGGTAGGGGACCCCTGAGAGCCGGACACCAGCGAAAAGGGGCTCAGGGGGCTGGTGAGACTGGCGGAGCTGAGAGGGCTGGCGGGGCTATTGGAGCTGTAGGTGGCCGTGGGGCCAAGTCCTCCTGGGGGCAGAGGAGAGGAGAGGAGAGGTGAGGGATGGATGGGGTAGGGGTGTGGCCCAGCATGTGGATGGGCTCCACAGGGAGGAGGCAGGGGAGGACGCAGGGATGTGGGAGGAAGGTTCCGGGGCCACCTGGGCCCGCCTAAGGGACTTATCATGTGGGCTGGGGTGCAGGCTGGCCGTGGGAAAGTGTGGGGGGCAGGGGAAGGTGATGGATGGAAGCGACGCTGTTGCCTCCGAGATGTCAGAGAAAGCCAGCCCAAGGTCCCGGGCTTCAGGAGGACACTAAGTTAGTGGCTTCAGATCACCAACAGGCCCCTGGGCTTAGGGGTAGGGGGAGGCAGAGGCGCTCTTTGACCTTTGCTGGGGAGGAATCTGGACTATCAGGGTCAACAGTGTCTCTGACAGGTATGTTTGGTCTGTTCTGGGAGGAGGGGGAGGGAGTAAGGGAGTCCTACCTACCCTCCCGGTGGGGAAGATTCTGGAGGCCAGGGAAGGCCCTGACTAGCCCTGAGCACGGTGTAAGGGCCTGAGGGGTGGGAGTGGACAGATGCGGGATGGACGCCAGAGACACCAGCATTTCTGGTGAGCGTCCCAGGAGGCTGGTGGAGGAGGCGCCCACCTCTGTGCTTGGCCGTGTCTGTGCCCCGGGATGGGTTATTCTTCCTCAGCCCCTCCATCACGTCCTGGATTCTCCAGATCTCCTTCTGGATTTGCCGGTTGAGTACCTCATTCTGAAACAGCAGGACAACAGATCAAGGGAAGTGGCTGTGAGGAGGGTCTCAGCCTTCTCCCTGCATCCCTTTGGGCCGGCGGGAGATGGGAGCCCTGTGCGCATGCGCGTGCTCACAGCGCCCTCTAGCATGTTCATCTTTCTTAGGGGAAGACCGTGCCCCTTCGGCTTCTATGAATGGAATTTGGAATTGCCAGAGAAGAAGGCCCTGTTATCACAGTCAAGAGCCCCGTTATGCAAGCTTGCCTCAGCTTCCCCAGGGAGATCAGGGTGGTCTTGGAGCAAATGCCTCTCTAGGTGGCAGCTATGGTAGCCAGTTCTCAAAGGTAAGAGTTTCCAATTTACTCATATTCTTTATATCCCAACAGCCCTTTTATAATACACCCAATGCATGCCCAAATCCTCATCGATTTTTTTCAGTTAGAGACTACACTCTTTGAAGAATAACAGCTACCACTTATTTGGTGGCCCAACTCTTCTCCACGCCGCATACCAGGCTCCGCTCTAAGTGCTTTGCATAAGCTAACTCATTTCTGCATGAGAACTCTCAGCTGCATGAGAACTCTGAAAGACAGAGGTGACACGTGTCCTGACTTTGGAGACAAAGAGACTTGTGCCCAAGACCATCTGTTACTAAGCAGCACGGCTACCATCTGAGTCTGGGTCTATTTGTCTCCAGAGCTAGTGCTCTTGACCAGGGTGCTTCCCTACCTCCTAAAATGTTCATGTTACGTGAGGCCTGCCCACAGGACAAGGTGGCATTTGGGTGACCTGGACCATGAGGGCCTTCACCTCACCCTCCCTAACCAGCTGCAAGTGAAGCTGGTGGTGAGTTTACCAGAAGGAAAATAGGGGAACCTGGGGCATTAACCGCATCAGAGAGACAGGGCTCGTAGAGCCCGGGCAGACATGAGTGATAGAAGAAAAGGGTAAAGACTCGCCAGGGTGAACGTGTCCAGCCTCCTGCCTCCAGGCAGAGTGTTTCTAACCCCTCCTGGGAAGGAAAGCCTCCTTCCTATCATAAAGTTCCTGAGTGGGCCACTTCTGTGGTCACGAGGGATAGCTACACGTATACCCTTATCTGTGTTCGCATAGAGACCTATACCGGTACCTAGACCGACATCTGTGTCTGTATTCATGTGCTAAATCCTTGCAGTCTTAAAATACCTTCGTCTAACCTCACTCTCTTGTGTTTCAGCTTTACTCCTTCCTAATGACTTGATGGAACTAAAGAAGAGTCCACATTATCTTCGTCCTGAAAGCGTCTGTTTTAAGTGGACTTGAACCTTGTCCTTTGTCTCAGGACCGACTCCCTGTCTCAAGTCTCTGAGGGCTCTAAAGCAAGAAAGGAAGCCTCTTTTGTTTCTTGTGGCCGCAAGGACGAGGGAAGGCGTGCCACCCGCCCCTCCCCTGCCCTGGGCCCCTCTTCACCTGGACGTCCAAATTGAGCTGCTCCCAGAGGTCGTCGTGCAGGGCAGAGACCTCGGACTCAAGGTTCTCATACTCTATGGTGCTGTTCGTCAGGGCCTGCAAGGGGGCGTGGGTTTACTGAGAAAGCAGCCATTGCCAAAGGCTCCCCACCCCCCACCCTGCCATGGGGTCCGGGGCCAAGGTTCCCGGGGCCTGGCACGGGTAGGGAGGAGGGCACAGAGGCCAGGACAAGACGGCCGGGGCTGAGGCGTTCTGATGACAGCCAAACACTGGCCTTACAAGAGGTACAGTGGCCCATCGTACCGCAGGCCGGAAGAGAGAAACCAGAATCCTCTCCGGGCGTGTGGGTAGGCCATGAGGGGATCGCACGATGCCCACAGCCTACTGGTTTCCACCCCTCGCCCCCCAACTGGGTGACACAAAGTGGAGGGCAAAAAGAGAAAACCCAGAGGTGTTTGCTTTCTGGGGGTCAGAGACCTCCCTCCCTTCTGGGCCATGTTTTCCGGGGACTTTTGCTGCTGCAGCCTGAGCCGTTATCCAAGCAGTGCGCACCGACTGCTGGGTCGGCCCTGTGCCAACGGGAAACGACAAGGGCGCTGGCACTGCCGCCGGTGCCTGGATCTCCAGGGGCGAGGACAGACGTAGGCGGCGAAGCTGTGAGAGCGGCCGAGGAAATAAGCCGCCCTCAACTTCACGCAGTCCTGATCGAGTCCGGACGCAGGTATAAAGTTTGTGAAAAATAAGCCCGTTTCCTCGGCAGAGCCCGGGTACCGAGGAGGCCGGCATAGGGGCTGCCGCCTGCAGGGCCGTCCTAAGGTCTGGTGTTTGTGGCCCTTCTGGCCAAGAGCACCCTGCTGCTCCCGCCCGCACAGGAGAGCAGGAGCTGGTGGGCACAGCCCGGGAGGGGAGGCTCTCTGTCGGGGTGCGGACGGGGCTGGGGAGGTACCGTGGTCGCCTGTGACAGCTCCACTCGAATGTTGATCAGCTGGTTCTGCAGGGACTCTTTCTTGTGCAGCAGTTTCTCTGGGTACGCAGGCTGGTTTCCAAACATCTCCAGCTCCTGGTGGGTCCCCATCAAGGCACTTTCCAGGCTCTCCTGAAGAAGGGTGGGGGAACAGCTGTCAACAGCCCTGAAAACCCCTCTCTGGGACTTTAAGAGGCCCAGTGGTTCAGCCCACAACCTGGTGGCGGTGGTCCTCACCGGCTGGGGCCCTCGGAAGAGCTTCAGCTATTCCAGTGAAGGGCGGGACAGAAGTTGACAACAGGGCTTTGTCAGCGTAAGGGTAGGGATGGCGACCCACATGTCCCGGATCCAGCCCCCGCCCCCCCCCAACTCAAGGCCACCCCTTGGCTCTCACCTTCTCAGCTCGGAGCTGCTGCACCAGCCGGTCCTGCTCCCTCACCACCTTGTTCTGTTCACACAGTTTGCCCAGCAGCTTCTGGGGGCCCGAGGGGGTGCAGGGGAAGGGAGGGAGAGAGAAGGGGTGAAGGACATGGTTTGACGGGGGCTGGGAAGTTGGCTGGAAGGGCCTGGCCTCTGGATACCTCCTCCTTTCCCTTGCTGAGGAACCCTAGGCCTTCTTCACCTTGACCTTGGAGGCTCCTGGGAACAGGAAGATGGTCTTCACCTTGGGAGACTCCCCAAGGACCTACTGTGAAGGGAGATGTGCTTATTCTCTGAGGAAGTGAGTCAGCTTGAGAGAGGAGTTCAATGTTAAGCCCCTGCCTTCCCCTCCTCCTGGGGGTTCCGAGTCCCGAAGGGTCGAGCAGATATGATGGCCTGGCCTCCCCGGCGGGCATGGACTGGAGGAGGAGGCAGTAGTCTTGGGAGAACCAGTAAGCAATGCAGACCAGTCCCCCAGTCTCGCAGGACCCTGTTCTCCCCTCCTTCCAGGGCCTCAGGATGGCTGACGCTGGGGTCCTTCTGAGATCTGGTCCTTGCCTGGAGGGAAACTCTCCCAGACCTACAGGGCAGACCCAGTACCCAGGCAAGGCCAGTGGTGATGGGAGGAGGCAGCTTAGGCCCGACTTCTCTTCTGGAAAGACTTATGCTTTCCAGTATCCACATCTTTATGCACGCCGTTCCTCAATCCCTTCTCTGGCTCTTTTCTACTGAGCCAGATCTTGTCTTCCGGGCGTTTTAACTTCAAGGCCCGGCTCATATGCTACCTGCTTTGTCCCTGACCTAACAGCCTGCGTGGCCTCACTCACTGCCCTGCATTCCAGCAGAACCCATTATCGATCCCACTTAGTCTGTGAATCATAGGTCACCGCCTGCTGCTACCTGGCATCTGCCACTGCCCTGAAGCTCCCTGAGGCCAGGGCCAGGTTCTTCCCTCCAGTCACCGAGGACTCCTGCCAGGCTGGGCCCAGAGCAGCCTGGTTGCTGTCCCTCCTAACAGAGTCCGAGTCCCTTGGAATGAGCAGACCCCACTGCTGTGGACGAGGGGGCCTTAGGGCTCAGTGGGGAAATGCACACAGCCAGCATGGGGGGGGGGTGATTGGTAAGAACGAGAAAAGAAAGAGGATGAGGAAGGGGCAGGCAGAATGCTGCCTGTGGCGAGACGGGACATGGGTCAAAGATATGAAGAGCCAGCAGAAGGACAGAGATGGACGGAGGAAAAGCCCCAGCGGAGGAGCGCGAAGATGAGGGCGACAGCGGAAGGGACTGGAGAGGACAGAGGAGCAGGAGAGCTGCTCTTACATCTGTATCTTGCTCGTTTAACTTGTAGGTGTGGAGGCCGTCCCGGAACACCTCTGGGTACGGAGGGACCTGCAGGAACACGAAGCCGGTTACAGCAGCAGGGGACACGCAGGGCGTGTGGGGACGGCAACGCGGACAACCCTCACTCCGTTCTTGTCCGAGACCAGGCTCCATCACCTCTCGCAGCTCCCATTCCGGGAACCTGAGCTAGTCCTTTGCACCCAGCTGGGAAGGCCAGGAGGGCCCCTGTGTAGGTCTTTCCCGACTGCTGAGGCTGGCTCTGCTTAGCTCCTACTCTGTATCTCCTCTCTCCCCTGACCTCGAGGTCTACTGCTGAGAGGGACTCCGGGGGTGGACAGACCCCGGATGGCTTACTGGTAACGGCCATGACAACAACAGTGAACCCTTGGCTGTTTCTGAGGGTGAGTCATGGGGAAATGGAACGAGCACTGGAAACATTTGGAGAATTATCATCGTAGTAGACTGAACACCAGTCACAGGGCTTGTGCCTACCCCAGGGGTACATCCGGGTCCGGCAACTGCTGCCCACCCTCGGTGAGGCATCTGGAAACTACAGCGCATTCGACACAACCTTGGCATTGGATGGGTCCCTATCACACCCTCTTGCCCTTAACCCCAAAGACGTCTGATAAGACGATAACAAACATGAAATAGAAGTCGTGGGTGCTGAAAAGCAGATTCGTGATCCCTGGCATGATATGGGATGGAGACGCTGGCTATTTTGATGGTTTGAGAAATGGGCCTTTGGGTTCACCCATGAACATGAAGAACAAAAGCAACACAGTGAGATGGAAGGAGAGGGTCCAGGTAGAGGGGCCTGGAGATGAGGCCTGGTGGATGGGCAGGGTGGGCAGAGCAAGCCCCCACCCAGATGGCTTGACTTGACCATGCACGAGCAGCGGAGATGGTGTTGACAGGGACCATGCTGCCAGGTGCAGGCCTTACTTGCATGAAGAGTTGGGCCCTGGGGGAGGAGTTTTCCACCATGCGGTTCACCATACTGATGAGAGTCTCACTCTCACTCATCTGCAGCAGAGGAAGGAATTGACGATTCAAACTCCGGCCCACATAGAGCTATCTCCCCATCACCTGCCTGGGCTCGCCTTCCCGGAAAGGGCAGCTTCTCATGGGGTTTCCAGCTCCCTCTGGCCTTACCCATCGCTGGCCCCTTGTGAACTCTGTCCCAGGGCCGGCACTGAAGGTGCTCTGAGGAAAGGCCACGGAAGGGAGTGGAGGGCTGCTGTGCCCTCGCTCTCAGCCCTGAGAGACCCCTCCCCCACCCAGCGACACTCCCCCAGGGTGCCTGAGAGGTGTGGGTCTCATTCACACTGGCCAAGGTCAGCTCCCTGCCCCAGTTCTCTTTCCTCACGTTGCTTCGGTCAAAGACCACACCGGCAGTTGTTGAAAAACCCAGCTCCCCAAATTTGAAGGAAATGAACCAGCTGAGAAAGAAAACCTAGGCTGCTCTGTAGATGGGCCTTCACAAAGAGGTGGACACAGCTCTCTCTCCCCGACCCCTGCCCACCTCTGCGCTCTAGAGTAGAAAGGATTGCTAAACACGGTTTCCAGAGCTGGGCTGGTAGCATCCATGCCGATCTGGGATGACACTAGGGAGCAAATAAGGAGGCTAAAACAAGCAAGCCACGTTAAAGGGACGCCAGATACTGGAACCCTACTCTCCCAACAGTAGGGTTCTTTATGTTTCAAGGATCATGAGGAGCATGGAGGGGGTAAGACTACTTGCCAAATGAAAAGCAAAGAGGGAGACAAGGGAGGGCAGGAGAGAGGGAAGACAGGGAGGGAGGACAAGCCAACGGAATCAAGTAGAAGGGCTGTCATTTCCCCCACTGGTTCTAGTGTGACAGCATCAAAAAGTGAATATATTTGGGAACGTCCTTGGCTCTATCCCTTTAACTCAACTGACCTACAGGAGACGGCAGCAGAACACAGAGGGAAGTTGTGTGGGAAAAGCTTTTTGGAGAGAGGATGTGAATGAGGGAAGGGATGGAGCCACGTTAGGGCAGAGCTCCTGGGGTCACGATTCAGGAGACTCCCACATCTTCAGCCCTTAGCTCCCCAATCTTTACTAGGCCCACACACATTTTAACTTATCCACTTAGGTGGATAAGAGGCACCTAAGCCAGGGGCAGCCTTGATTCTGTGTGTTGGGGGGGAGACCCCCCCCCCTTTGCAGGGTCCACAGCATTTTAAAAGGCTCTCCTAGGATCTGATCTACCTCTTTAGCCTGTTGGAATGCTTATGACACTACGGCATAAAGTGTCATTGAAAAGGCTTTGAGAAGAGCAATTGTAATATGAGGTTTCTAAAATAGTTAACGGTCAACAGACATCAGCGACATTTTCTGTAAGGATCTGAACTCAAGTCAATCCCTATCTGTTCGGAGCCCAGCGTATATGAGATCGTGTTTATTGTGCATGGGGTGTGCATGTGTGCTGTGTATGTGATTGTACATGGTGTGTATATAAGTGTGTTTGTATGCTGCTGTGTGTCGTGTGTGTGTGTGTGTGTGTGTGCGTGTGTATGCATGCGCATAAGACAAGGCAGACCTGTTAACACACCAGGCTTTGAGAAGGCAAAGGAGGCCCAGGCTTTTCCTGGACACCCACTGATCTCATTCCTTCCACAACCAGTGGATCTCAAGCAATAAAGGAGGAAAGCTAGAATGTTCTTGCCCTAGCCTGCTCCCGCTCATGCTGTGGCTTTGGGGATCTTTAAGCCCGCGTAAACTTTGTCTCTAGAATTCCTGTGTGCCCCTTCGGTCTGTTCAAAATGTTACATTTTGTGAGAAAGCACCTCGCTCAGTGCCTTATATACCATATAGGTGCTCAATTAATATTTTAAATTGAGTTTTAGAATAAAATGAGTAAAATCATCACAATAGCAGTAACCGCTCCTGGCCAGTGCTGGACAAAGTGTTGCCATGCACACTCTTACTTGATTCTCCAGGAACTCTGTGAGGCAGAAAAGGCGGATTCTACAATGGCCGTTTTATGACTGAGAAAACAAAAGCCCAGAGACACAAAGCGACATTTCCAAGTTTACCAAAAAAAAAAAAAAAAAAAAAAAAAAAAAATTTGTAAATGGCAGAACTGGGACTAGAATAAAAAAAAAAAAAAAAAAGAATCTTTGTAAATGGCAGAACTGGGACTAGAATGTCTGACGCCACGTTTTGGACTCTTATATAAAACTTCCTTTTAAGAATATCATTCAATTATTATTATTCTTTTTGAGGTAGCTGGGTGGCTCAGTTGGTTAAGCATCCGACTCCGGCTCAGGTCATGATCTCACGGTTTGTGGCTTTGAGCCCTGCGTTGGGCTCTGTGCTGACAGCTCAGAGCCCGAAGCCTGTCTCAGATCCTGTGTCTCCCACTCTCTCTGCCCCTCCCCTACTCATGCTCTGCCTCTCAAAAAATGAATAAATGTTAAAAATTGTTTTTAAATAAAAAAAGAATATTATTCTTTTTCAAAAAATTATTCTTTATCTAGAGGGGGTCCACTGAAGGGTTATTTCTCAAGCTGCCAGCCTAAGGGCCCAGCAGCCGCAGGGGGGGCCCAGGTGTGGCACTGAAGGCCTGTACAGCCACACAAGGGCCAGAGAACTGGGGTCTGCCCAGGAGCCCTGAGGGCACTCAGCCCTGCCCCTCACTACCCAGGGCATTGTAGAGCCAGCTTCCTACGGGAACCGCTGGCACTTCCCAGTGCTGGTCTGGGCTGGCATCCTGAGGCTCAACTCCACGTGGACCCGACCACTCACGGTGTGGACAAGACAGGCTGCTTCAGGAAGTAAAATGCAGTGCCTGTGAGGAGCTGCTGATTAAAACGTGGATATCAGTGCTCCCTAATGCCCAAGGCCTTCTATGAGGATGATCTCCCCAAGGCTTCTATGCGGCACATGACCCGTGTCTAGAACCACCAACAGTTATAGCGGTAGCCTCTGATTTCATGTGTATGGTTCTTTCTGGAACTCTAAGAGTGTAAAATAATCTTGACGAGGTTTGACTCCTGCTTCTACACATATTAGATATTTCCTCTGCTATAAACTGGGTTAAAATCTCAGAGCCACACTCCAAGCTCCGCCATTTGTTGGCTGTGTGTCCTTTGGCATGTTACTTAACTTCTCTGTGCTTGAGTTTTATCAGCTCTAAAATGGAGATAACAACAGGACCCAGCTTGCAGGGTTGTTATGAAGATTAAATGCATTAGCATCTATAAAGTACTCAGAATAGTATGGGGCACAGAGAAAGCACCCCATTACGTAGCTGTTGCCATTATTCTTACTATTACTACCACTACTATTATTATCTCCACCACCTCAGGCCGCCTCCACAGGGCCACTCTGGGGATGCCCAGGCCCCCTGTGATTTGTAGCACAGATCTGGACTCAGATGTATGTGCTCACATCAACGTCTGGCATACTGACCCTCTGGGTGTCTAAACGTGGTAAGTATCAGAGCCCCGGAGATTGAAAAGGCAAGGCCGCCAATGGTTAGAGCCTAAAGGCAGCATCTCTTCAGCCCATTGCTTCCATCTATGGGAACGTTCACTGATGCTTCTAGATGCTCATCTCCGAAGCTGGGTTGCTAACACTCCCTTGGCCTCCCACACGGAATTCTCAAGGAGAACATGAGCCGTGTATGCAAGGGAACTTGGCAGAGGAACTAATAAATCTACGGAACTAATGTAATTTAAAACACCATCCTAGGGCAAGTCTGTAGTCCTTGGTTTACAAACTGTGTTTGTTTAACAACATAGTTTAACAACAGCCTGCTTGCGAACCATGATAGATAATTTCCCGGATTCAGGCTGCACTAAATCCTCAACACTTTAGGCCCCCGCCTGGCGCTCACCCCCTTTCAAGGTCTATGCCGCTCTTTCCAGCAGAAATGCAAATTCCCGCCTGCCCCTGGGGACAGCTCCATCTGGCCTGAACAAATAGGAGGTGGCATTAATTATTCATGTGGTCATTTCTTATTCTCCTTTCCCCAGGAAACTCCCAGCTGCCCTAAAGGGCTTTGAGGGGAAGGGGAAGGGGGTGGGGGTGAAGGCGCAAACCAAAATATAAGCCACTTTGTTGTGTCCCCGTGATGCCAACAAAGGTTGTCAAATGGCTGGAGGATGAGAAGGTGGGGGGAGCAGGGAGACGCGACAGGAGGGCAGGGGAATGGGGGGAGGGGGCACCAGCTCTGCCTACCTGCTGATCCAAATACTCTAGGTTTCTTTGCAACTGAAGGTCTAAAAGTTCATCCTACCCGGAGCCCGAGGCCCAACGGCAACACAAACAAACAGGAACAGGACAACAGAAAACAATAAAAAGGAAGCAAAGCAGTTAAGAGTTAGCTGGGGAGGGGAAGGGGGGAAGGCAAGGTCAGAGAGAGGGCTCTGTCTGCCCTTGAGGAGTTCTGGGGAAAGACACTGAGGTGGCCTCCTGGATGCCTTGACCAGAGGAGGGACTCACTCGGGCCCCAGCTCCAGGGCTCCTGGTCCGCCGGGCCCTCCCCTGGAAGAGGGAAGCACCACTGAAGCAATGCAGTTGGCCCTCCCTACCAGCTCCCGAGTTTTCTGGAAGAATCCATGGTTTCTGGGTGGGTGCAGGTGCTGTGTGTCAGAGCTAGAGTCTGGACAGAGAAGGATCTGGGTGGGTGCACCTGCGGTGTATTAGGGCTAGAACTTGCATAGAGAAGGATCTGGGTGGGTGCACGCCCATGCAGGCTTGTCCACCCTGGCCTCCCGGGGCTGCATCAGGACAGGGGTCAGCAACAGGCCTTTGGGGACAAGGACTCTGCCTGTCGGTTCCGGTGGCCCTCCCCGGCATCCCAGGTGGAGCGTCTCCACCCAGTTCTCCAGGGTGGAGACAAGTGGAGACCAAAATTCTCTGGAGAACAGATTCCAGGGAGAAAAGAAGGAAAAGACACAGTATGGAAAATCTTTTCTTCCTTAATCCCATCACTTGTCTCTTTTCCCAAAAGTAGCACTCCAGGCACGGACGGACTTGGAGGAGACGCCTGCTAATGGACATTCAGACCTGACTTTTCTTCCCAGTCTGTAACCCAAGCCCTTGACCTGGCCTCTCTGCATGCTGGACGTGATCGAGGGGATCAGGACATCACGCGCCTCCAGATCTAGTCCCTGCTCTACTTTATGTCACAGACAGCATTAAGTGGCACCAAGCTCTGCATTGGGGTTAGAGTCCTGGCCGGGAGGGAGGAGGTATCCAGAGGCTGCTAAGAAGCAGGAGTGCCAGGTACTAGGCACAGAGCACCCCTGTGGCTGCCCTGGTTGGGCCTCGCTCTGGGCGGAGAGGTCCCGTGGGGAGCAGACGGGAGGAGAGGACGTACCGTCTTATCGTGGACCGTGGGGGATGGTGGGTAGTTGTAGGGGAACAGTCCTGCGGGCACTGGCCGCCTGTCTCCCAGGTAATCATACTGGAAGAGAAAGTGCATTGGAGAGGTTGAGGGGGTCCGGCTGGGACACGGACTTCCCCAGCAACGATCAAGGTTAGGGATATTTGGTATCCTGTCCCAGAGCAGATTCCAAATTCAATGGACAGCAATTATCAGCTGCAATATCCCTGCACTAACCTGGCCAATCCCCAAGAGACAGACCCTCTCTGCCCTCTGACAAGGAATCGGGTTCCTGGCACAACCTGGGGGAGGGCACCAATGTTCTGACTCCGGGGTCAGAGCACATGCCCCAAAGCAGCGCTCCCACGGACAGAACTGCAGGGCCAATGGCTTCCCGGGCATCGTCGTGGCTCCTGCCAACATGTGGTGCGCGTCCTTGTGGGACACAGGGACCCCGAGAGTCCCAGATGCCCGCACACCTCCACATCGTCTCTGCAGATGGTAGTAGGCTCCTGGGGGATCTCAGGGCATGAGGAAGGAGGGGGCGTGCTGAGGGCTCACCTTGGGGGAGCTGATGGATCGCCTCATCACATAGGCAGCGGGGTCCGCATAGATGTCCTCACTGCGAGGTGGCAGGCGCTCAAAACGGGCACTGGGTGAGCGGACAGGGGAGTAAATGCGGGCGCGGCTGTAGGAGCCCTGGCTGGGTGAGCGGGGCACGGAGTGGGAGCGGGGCTGCAGGGACAGGCGGCGCAGGGAGCCAGACGTGGCATCCAGCTCATCATAATAGACTGGCTGCCGAGAGGGGGAGGGGCCGGGGAGCCAGACGGTGCCATCCTGCCTTCCGTAGCCTGGCGGCTCCTTCCACTCCCGCAGCTGGAAGGCAGGGCCGCCTCCGTTGCGGAAGGAGTGATGCTTGTCTTCCAGGGCCCAGGGAGGGCTGATCCGATCATAGGCTGGCATGGAGCAGATGCTGTCGGGCCGCACCCCTGGTGGGTAGTACTGGTAATCATCGGGGTACTGGGAGGAATAGGGGCCATAATACTCAGGGACCCTCCGGGGCATGGGGTAGAACCTAGAGGGACTGAGAGAGAGGATACTGTAAGGAAGCCGGAATGAGCACATGCCCACCCACCCACCTGTGCCCCCACCTCCATGTCCTCCAGCCTAGAGTGACTGTGACCAGGCTGAGCCTGGGGGCACACAGAAGCAGCCACTGCCTGGGCACTGAGGCTTGCTTCCAGAGGTGCAGGGAAACTCCCCCAAAGCTTCCTCCCTCGTGGCTCAGGTCAGGATCTCATGGTTTATGAGTTTGATCCCTGCATCGGGCTCTGCTGTGAAAGCATGGAGCCTGTTTGGGATTCTCTCTCTCTCCCTCTCTCTCTGGCTCTCTCTCTCTCTCAAAATAAATAAACTTAAAAAAAAAACTGTATCTCTAAAAAAAAAAAAAAGCAGCTTCCTCCCTCAACTAGCACCCTGAGGCTAGAAATTTCACGTTCAGAGCTTCTTGGGAGAAACTTTAAGCCTTGTTAGCTCTCTCTACTCCAGCTTGAACCACAATGTATCAGATCGTTTCAGAGCAGCAAACAGTGGAGGGAAAGGGGACATACCAGGGGCCTGGGGAAAGGCAACACACAGCGCAGTGGGCACAAAAGGGCGCCTTCCCTGGTTTTATGTTCTCGTCAAGGATGGGGCCCGGAGGTTCCTGGGGCTCATCCCAAAAGAGGCGCTCATCCCCGAGGAAGGCCAGATGTCCCCGGCAGCAGAGCCCCGGAGGTGAGCAGCCTTCACCTGCAGTCCCTGGAGCGGCCCACACCCCTGGAGAGGGAGCAGCAGCCCCACTTGCCCCGACGAGATGAGCGTTATGGGGCCCAATAAACGTCTTCCAGTACTTGAAAGCCAGTCACGGGACAAAGGAGGAAATTGATCTAGAGGGCAGGACTAGGATCTGTGAGTGGCGACATTTCGTTTCTTTTCTTTTCTTTTTTTTTTTTTAACTGCATATAAATAAAGACTTTCAAACAATTAGAGCCGTTCAAAAATGGGGTGAGCGGGCTTGGCAGTCAGTGAGGCTCATGGTGGTGGAAACACTGGAGCAGAGGCTGTTTGTTGTAAGAGGGTGGGGAGCGTGGATGGACATCTGACCGGAACAATGCTGAGGCCCTTCCCTATGACTGCCTGTGTGTGTCCTGGGCACCCAGCATCCTCATGGAGAGGGGTTGGGCGCTCCGTCTCTGTCTCTGAAGAAAGCAGAGGAGGCAGGGATGGGGGGGAGGGGGGACCGGGGTAAACTCCACAGATGGAGCAGGAAAGGATCTGTACAGGCTGGGGACCCTGAGTTTGGTGTTCTCTTGGTTCCCCAGCTCAGCCTGGCTTGCTGAAGGTTTCCAGGAAGGGATGCTGCTTGTTACTACCCCCATGCCGGCGATCACAGCACCCCAGCTCCATGCCTGTGCCCACCAGGACTCACCTCCGGAGGTCTTCAGGGGGGGCCACACCCCGGCGCAGGTTCACCCACTGCTGGAGCTGGTTCATGGAGCTCTTGCGCTGGGCAATCTTGTCGGGGTTGGCACGTGGGGGTAAGCTCCGCTGGTGGCCCCCGCTCTCTGAGTCCGGAGGCGGGAAAGCTGTGCTCCCCGGCCGGCTCGGGGAGCTATACTGCCAGCCATTGGGCTGGGGGGGCCGATCCCCTCCCCCCGGGACCCTTGGGCCCTCAGGGTAAGGGCTGCCTGGCTCCGAGGCTGGTTCCGGGCTGGCTTGGATGCCATTGGCTTTCACCAGAGGCTCGCTCTTGACTTCAGGCCTCTCGGGCTTCCGCTCTGCCTTCTCACAGCCCCGGCCATCACCCTCCCCTCGAGTCTTGGCCTCTGGCTCAGGCTTGGGGAGGCTGTTGTGGGACGGCTGGTGGTGGTGTTTGCTAGGAGGGATGTTCTCGGAGTCTGGCTTCTCATGGCTGCGGGATGCCAAGGGAGGTGTTGTAAGTGACTCCAGCCCAGCAGGGAGCTGGGCAGGGGACGGTAGACTGGGAAGGAAAAAGGAGTGGAGAAGGGTGGGCAGGAAGGTAGCAATGAAAACGGGATTCAATGAGTTACCATTCTGTTTCCTAAATGCCCGTTTTGCTTCCTTGCTCCAGCCTGGGCAGTTACTAGAAAACACAGTGCAATCTTGCCCATGCGTGACATGCTCATTTCAGCCTCTGGGTCCTCTCCACGGCCCACTCTCTGCTCCCTTCTGCTGACCTGCATTGCATCCAGCCTTCGAATGTTATGGCCAAGACTAACTTGCCCCCCAGACTTGGTGGTTTCTGCAGTCTGTCCCCACTCCAGCCCCCCAAACTCAGTGCACACTATACCAAAGCTTCATAATAGTGACTGTCCCCGATATTTCACCCATGAAGGCTCGTTACAGCTCAGCCTGCTGTCCTATGCAAGTTTCTTAACTTCCGAAAGTCTCGGTCTCCATGTTGGCAGGATGGGGTAGAACAGTCGCTCTGCTGGTAGGACTGTGAGATCAAACATGGCGGGCACCAGGCACCAATGCTGTTGCCTCAAACATCCTAGGCTTAGAAACATGCTAGTTCCCACCTCCGGGACAAGCTTCTTCCAGGAGAGACTCTGTCAGAACGTATGCTCCGCGAGGCAGGAGGATGTAGACTTGTCTTCCCTTATTTTCCTAGCACCCCATACAGTGCCTCACACATCCCTATTTGCACTAAATATTTATGAACTAAATGAGCGAACTTCTGGAAGGGCGCCCCTCAGCTGAAGGGACGATGGGATCCCTATTGCTTCCCCAATCCAACAGATTCGAGCATCCTTGCTACAACGCTGCCTAGTAAACACTTCTAAGACACTGAAATAGACTTGGAGTCTATATTGTAACAACCTCCTTTTTCTGGATCCCTGTTAACATATAACTGAAGGTTCCATCTACCCAGTTCCCCTAGAGACAGGCCGTGGGGCTATAGGTGACGACAGGTGGCAGGGGTGATGGGGAAGCCATGGGCAGAGTGTTCGCTGCATGTCAGGATTTCACGGTTGCCCCATGGGGTAGGATTATAATTCCTGCCTTTGAGGTGAGGAGATTCAGGGTCAGAAAGGTTAAGTAACTCCCACTGCTGTCACAGTATGAATAAGTGGCTAAGTTGGGATTCGAACCTGAGTCTATACTCCTCCAGAGGTCATGGGCTTAATGTGCAAAGCCAAGAATAAATGAGCAAATGACCTTGGTCTCTGGCTCCTGGCCAGGCCCCAATGGAACCTGGCTGCTCTCTTGGCCTCCACCAGCCCAGAGAGCAGAGGAAGAGCCAGTCAGGGGAAGGGAGCCTCTGGACTCTGAAATTGCTTTGCCAGGTGCCCTGCTGGGAGGCAAGGAGCGGCTCACGTGTTCTCAGAAGTTCAAGCCAGCATGCCAGGCTCAGGAGACATAGAGCGCTTCCTTGATACTCTTTGTCTGGCACTCCGGCACTCCCCACCCCCATGCCCTGTGCCCTGGAACTCACCTGTGACGCACAGCTTGGGGTACTGACTTCTGGGCTGGGGGGATCTGGACTCGGGCAGCCTCCCCCATGGCCTGAATCCAGGCCTCCTGTTCCTCGGGGCTCTCGGCACTGAAGAAGTAGGTGCGGACCCCGGCGTGCTCAGCCTGTGGGGAGAGGCAGTGCGTGGAACCGGCCCCGGCCTCATCCACCCAGCATGTAGTCACCTGTAGGGAGAAGACACCCACAGAACAGGCGGTCAGGCAGGCCGTCCCCCTGACCTGCAGCTCTTCTCCCCACATGGAGCTCAGGGGCAAAGCGAGCTCTGCATAAGGCTCCGGCTGGCCCCTAGGTGTCTGCCTTGGCTGGCTCTCTCGACACCAATAAGCTGCCCAGTAGCCAGGTAAGGTTACCTGCCCCACCTGAAGTGACTACAAACAGGAAGGACAATTACGGTGCCCACTCTCCCATCAAATTCCATCTTCGAGTTGAAGGGCAATTACCCAGTGTCTGAGAGAGATGGCTCCCCCCCCCCCGCCCCGCCCCCGAGCACATGCCAGTCTCGGCCTGAACTTGGCCTCTGAGGAACTAGTGCTGTGTCTCCTGTGCAGAGAGACAGCCAGGCCTCCATCTCCCTGGGCATGCAAGGGGCATGCACAGACGGTTAGGGCACGCTACCTAGTTGGTGGCCGCGAGCAGGTGCGGCAGGTGGGAACCCAGAAGAGAGCTCCTGTCCAGAGGAGGGGTCCTCACGCAGTCAGAAGGAGGAGAAGCAGAGAACAGGTCAACCAGACACCAGAGGGAGACAGAAGATGACGCGGTAGGAATGTTGAGGAGCAGAGGGAAGCGGGGAGCTATTCAGATTACCCCCTTCTATTCGCGGTCGCCACCGGGACGACAGCACCCGGCAATGCCCAGGTCCGCCCGCCAGGAGTGGGGAGTACAGAGCTCGCGCCTAGGCAATCGGGGCTATTAGTGGAGAGGATTCAGGGTGTCGGTGCTGTTCCTGGCTCTGTTTCCAGCCAGTGGGGCAGCTGCAAACAACTTGGGGTTTTCTTCTGGCCTGAAGTGGTGCACCTGCTTCATAGGAAGGGCTCTACCTGGTGAGACTCCAGGTTCTAAGGCCCCAAGCAAGAAAGGCTCTGGAGCTGAATTCTTTCTGGAACCTCAGCACACTTCCCGTGAGACCTTCGGTGTCCCGGGAAAAGCAGGCAGCCTGGTTTATCCCACTCAACAGGAGAAACCCACGTGATTACTAGTCTCAGAGGTGAACCTCACTTTGGTCTCTGACCCTGTGGGTGTGAAATCATGGGTCTCTGAGGGTTGGAAGGAGAGAAGACAGGGCTCTCCTGACCAAGCCCCAGGGCTCTCCAAAGCAGCTGTGTCAAATCCACACCCTCCACGTGATTTCCTGGCTGGACCTTCGCTCCAATGTACCCCCCCCTCCCCCGCCCCGGCACATGATTCCTTTCTGATGGGAGTCATTACCCAGTGACATGTCCTACTTCTCTGGGAGTAGAGGCGGGCCTCTTTCCTCTGGATCCTGGCACTTCCCACCCTGCAGCAGGGGGCCAGCTTGTGGGCAGAGGCAGGGACGTGCTTCTACAGCAGTGAAACTGTAAGGAGGCATCTCAGGATTGAAACCACACAAGGATATGGAGAGCAGGGGCCCAGCCTAGCCTTCTGGCGTGGAGGACACAGGGTTGTTGTACAGAAGAGAAAGAGAGAGACACGGGCGGGTCTTGTGGGCGTGACCTGGGGCTGGTAGGAGTGGACAGCAAGTGAATTAATTCGCTCGTGAGCACCCCGTGTGTGCTGAGCTCCGCTCCGGGTGCCAGTCACAGGAAAACAGACATGCTCTTTGCACTTGAAGAGCTCACGGTCAAGCTAGAGGACAAAACATGCCCACAGGGAAACAAGGAGAAAGCAAAGGCGCGGGAACAACCGCTTGCAACAGGAAAGGCAGATCTTGGCAGAAAACAGGGCAGTGGATCGTGAGCCGGAGTAGGACACCAGCCCGGCACCATCAGTCTGGACCACGATACTGGGGGAAGCACCCCAGTGGGGCGAAGTCCTTTGAGCCCCCATGGGGCTGGGTTAGGAAGAGGTTAAGGTATTCAGCAGCAGGCGGGGCAGGAACAGTGCCCGGCTCATTATTAGCCATCCAAGAGTTTCACCCGCAACAGGACAAGCCTCCCATCTGTCTCCGCTCCCCTCCCCACCCTTCCCAGGGGAAGGGCCACTCAATAGCCACCATCGGAACCCTTTGTGGGCCACTGAGCACAGCCCTCAGAGTTGGGTTTTAAAGAGGCAGTGCACTCCTGGAGGAGTGGGGGAGGGGAAGGAGGAGCGGGGCTGATGGCGGGTGTGTGTATGTGTGTGTCAGTCACTCAGGGCGCTGATGGAATGTCTGTGGCTGGCAGAGCTCTGAGCTCGAGTGTGGATGTGTCTGTGCACAGGTCTGGAGGGGAGGGTGAGACAGGCTGTTTGACTGTGTGGGTGTGTGTGTGCGAATGTGTATGGAAGGACTGTCTGTTGTTGGTTAAACAACCTGTTTCTATTTCCCCCCGCTAGAACCTGGCTCCCTGGAGCCAGAGTTGTATTAATTGCTCCTTCTGTTCACACCTCTGGCAGACATGACCCTAGGAGGCTAGGAACTAATTATGTGCCAAAGAAGCCCCTCCTCGAGCCCGTGCGGCCGCCCACCTCTCTGCCGCAGTCAGGTGAGCAGAGTCTGAAGGATAGGAAGGGGCAGGCTCTGAGGTCCTACAGGCTCAGACGTTGACCTGGCGTTACCCGCAGGTCCTGTCATCCAGCACCATGGCTCTAGGTTTTAGGGTCTTGGACAGCAACTCAACTAGGGGACAGATGGCTTTGTGCTAAGAAAATGCATGGCTGGTACCATGATTTTCTATTTGGAAGTGAAAGGAGCCTATGGTCCTTACATCATAAAATACAAAAAGGGCACGGGATTTCTATTGTTTTCAGTGGGTCATGAATTTTTAAATGTGGAAAAACACTGGCCTGCGAGGAGCCAGCTGCAAGTGCATCTTGGATGGGTGGATCCCCCAGGAGCCCCGCACTCCTGCTCTCCCAAACCACGCTCTACCTGAGGTTTGCCTTTCTTGATTGTAATCAAACCCAACTCCTGATTTTCTCTAGAGATTGAAATCTGAGTTAGTGGGACTGGGGGGTCTAGTTCTCAGGGCCCCAGTGTAGGGAGGATTCCTTTCCAGAAGGGATGTCAGAACCCCACCGGCCCACAGCCCCCTGCCTCTGCGGTGATGAATTTCCTGGGTGACAGATGCCAGGCCAGTGGGCAGAGGGTTCATTTCTCCTCCAGGAAACACTGAGGTACCACTGAGGCACATCTCCACCGGCTCCAGCTGACTCCTGAGAGGTGGCAGCCTCAGTAGGGCCTCTCCTCGGCCTCACAACAGCCTGTAGTGAGTCCGGCGGTCACTGCCCATTCTTTCCTTCCCGTCACCACTGTGGGACCCCTGGGGGAGATGGCTCAGGATCCTTCTGCATTCCCACGTGCTCTAGAGGAGCAGCCCCCTACACCCCCCACACCCCCGCCTGGGAGAGAAATGCCAACTGACCTTAAAGGTGTGTTTTCGGCTGATGTTGTCCGAAGGCTGCACTGCCGCCACGCGGAAGCTCAGGAGCGGGATGCTGCCCAAAATGTTCTCCTCCTTCTCATCTGTCAGGTGAACAGAGGCCCCGGTGAGATGCATGGGCCCATGGAGGAGGGGGTCAGCCCTCTTACCACAGATACCAATAAATATTGCTCATCTACTGCTTGTCAGGCACCCAGGAGACCACAATCCAGCACACAGGGTGCTCGCACCACGAGAGGCACACGCCCGGGCCATAGGGAGCCCGGCAGCCCTGCAGACATTGTTCTAGATGCTGGAGTGAGAGAGGCGAATGAGGCAGAAGTGGTACCCACCCTCCAGGAGCTCACCTTAGGGTAAATAGATAAATAATGATTAACATTATGGAGGGTTTGCTGTATGTTGGGTATTGTTCTGAATTAATTGCCTTCAAGGATTTCACCCCACCAACGATTCCGAATAGGTTACTGCTGTTACCCCATTTCATGGGTAAGGAGGTTGAGGTACAGTGGAGAGGTTAAGTAATTTGTCCAAGGTTACTTAAGTAGAGAGTGGCAGATTGGTCTTTGGATCCAAGAAGTCTGACTCTCAAGCAAGCATTTCTTTTTCTTTTCTTTTCTTTTCTTTTTTTTTTAAGTAAACTCTACTCCCATCGTGGGGCTCAAACTCACAACCTCAAGATCAAGAGTCTCATGCTCTACCGAGTGAGCCACCCAGACGCCCCTCCCAAGCAGGCAGTCCTAACCACTCTCCTGTCTAGAGACACTCTGCAAGCAAGACAATTCCACCAGGGTGCGCGTCACGGGAGGACAATGGGAGTGGGCGCGGCAGAGTGTCCCCTCTTCGGCTCTGGCTCCTCTGGGTAACTGTTTCTACAGTTCTCCCGGGGACCCAGCAGCTTGCTCTGTTCTCTCCTGACAGGGGTCTGCCTTCCCCTTTATGGTCCCCACGTCTCCACCTGTATAACCTCCTGGCCCTCTGTTGTTACACAACTCATCCCGGAGCTCCGAAGGAGCCTGATGGATTAGCTCGTCAGGCCCCAGGTGTCTGCAGGAGCCACAGAAGGTGGGGGTGCTCTGTGGAACAGGTGGGGGGCAACCATGAGGCCATGGCGAGCCCCTCCCCACTTCCCTGGGATAGCTCTTGATTCCTGAGGCTAGAGACCCTGCAAAAGCCTCAGTTAGGGCTCAGAGGGGTCTCAGGGATTATAAACTCAGGAGTTCCCCTCCTCTTCCTCCTCATCACTTATACAAGATACTTGGCTTAAGTATCTGGCTTCCTCTGCAGACTCAGCATGGTACCCAGTGGAAAGGCTAAGCCAAAGGATCAAGAAGTGCCCAGGGCCGGGGACTCAGGGCTTCTTCAGGGAAACAGAGGCTGCCATCTTCTGGGGGTGATGGCCTTCTGCCTGGCAGTGTCCAGGCCAATGTTTACAGGGCCTCTTGAGAGCACCTCTCAGTGGATGGTGGCCCCCATCATGACACCCCTTGAGTTCACAGCTTTTACGTTTCGACTCTCACGCCAGTCCCAGAGTGTCTCCTCTGCAGAGAGCCTGGCTTTCCTTCATCTTCGTTCATACTCTGGCTCCAGTCAGCCCTGGGTCCCAGCGGCTCAGCACCAGGGACCAAGCCTCGGTGGATTCTGGATTCTCCCCCCACCACCCCACCCCTGTCTTGGGGCTTTGTCTGTGACTGGATCCTGTGCATGCAGCCCCTTCCTGATTTCTGCCCTCGGGTTCAGGTGGCAGCAACGCAGGGCACAGGGACAACGGCATTCTGCAGTCACTGGGTACAAGCTTTGTTTGTGAAAGTTAATGATTCACTGGATTGCCCCCAGGAGGTCCAGAGGAGTCAGGGCTCTGCCATTCCTGGGCCATGGAGGAAAGGAAACAGCCTCTCCTGCTGTAAAATCACTTTACCCTTCTCTTCTTGTGGCCCCGCGTCGGTGTGACAGGGCCGTCACTGTCATTAACCCTCACTAGCTCCCTCGGTGCCTTCTCCCTCCCCTATTCCCCACCCCAGGACTTCATCACCTGTCACATGACTGTCCTGTTCACCCACTGCGTCCCCCATCAGGACCTAGAACTCTGCCTGAAACCTTGAGGGCGCCCGGGAAATACTGTCGAATGTGAAGTGACTGAACGAATGAGCAAACGGGCTCTGACTTCATCCCACCGTCAGGATCCGCTGGTGCCGGGAGCTATGGAGCATATTCGCACTGCCCACCCCTCTCTGTTGTCCACTGACCAACGTCCACCCCAGGCAGAGCCCGGTGATCTGGCAGAGCGAGCATGAGCGGTGGGCCCTGCTTCCTGCGGCCCCTGTCACGCCCGTAGGAGGAGCTCACCTTTGTAGTAGAAGAGACAGCGATCCACCAGGACGAACCAGCGCTTGTTCCACTGCTTGACCCCGGAGCTGGCCTGCGGGACATGAGGAGACAGGCGGGAAGGGCTGTGAGCCGGGCATGGGGCGGGGAGGGGCTGCAGGGGAAGGTGCAGCATGAAATCATAAGGACATCCTGCCTCCGGTTGCGGCTCTGCCACTAACAAGTGGCAGCCAACCCCCCTGAGACCTCAGGTGCAGGGAACCGACATTAGATCATTGCCTGTGACCTTTCAGTTCTGTCTTTCTGGGCCTCAGCATCTGTGCCGGGGAAGATAAAAGGGGTGAGAGAGGAGCCAGGATGAGTGGGTGGAGGGCAGGCAGGGACAGTGGCAAGGTCAAACTGGGAAGAATTAGCGGACCCCTAGACTAAGGACAGTCCCCTTAACCCAGCAAGAGGGACCGGCTGAGAACAAGCCAGTGGGTGCCCTAATAGGGTTGGTGACCAAGCATATTTCAGAGTCATTGCATCTGCCCATCTGGAGATCTGGCTGGATTCCCGTATTTGTCACTAATTTTTTCTGTGTGATTTTAAGAAGATACTCAACTTCTCTGAGTCTTTATAAAATTAGGAGATTCACAGGGCGCCTGGGCGGCTTAGTCGGTTGAATGTCCGACTTTGGCTCAGGTCCTGATCTCATGGTTCGTGAGTTTGAGCCCCACATTGGGCTGTGTGCTGAGAGCTCAGAGCCAGGAGCCTGCTTCGGATTTTGTGTCTCCCTCACTCCCTGCCCCTCCCCTATTTGTGTTCTGTCTCTGTCTCTCTTTCAAAAATAAATAAACCTTTTTTAAAAATTAGGAGATTCGCAGAAATATACCAAAAATAGGACGCGGGAGGATGTACCAAAACATGCACGGACTCATAAATATGGAAGAATCAGAGCGGTGGTCATGGTGGGGAGATCGGCTGAGGCCTCACCTGTTTGAAGAGCCAGCCCGCCTTGGTGACAGGTGCGTTGAGATTCCGCTTCATTGAGTGTGAGCGCTTCCCAAAAGCGATGGCTTTGCGGGATGTTCGGGTTGCCTGGGGAGGCCAAGAGAGAAGCAGGCCTGACTTTCTTCCTCTCCTCCCTCTCTGCTCTAACTACAGTGGAAGCTACCTGGTGTGTACCTGTCTCCACGCCTGGGGAGTCCTTACCCCAAGGGGACCAGGTATGACTCTTGGATCTGTTCCTAACCCAAGGGCACAGCTTTCCAATTCTTTGGTTCTTTTTTCTTCCCTCTAAAAGGGGGCTCAAAATTAGTCTGACCTATCTCACAGCAGTGTGGATTTTGTCGTCGTCGTCGTTGTTGTTTTAGGGAGAAAATAAGATTTTTCATTTCCTTCCTGGGATATCTTTCTTCTACTGTCCTGACAAACCCTCTCTTTCTTAAATCATCCTCTTCATTCAAAGTCTGGGCATCACTGTGGCCTTGTCCCTGATGATGACTGACCCACTGCCCTGACCTGATAGTACCGTGATGTCCTCAATTCCAAAACCATTCACTTCTACCCCAGCACGCACTCCCATGGCTGAACCATCAGCGCCCACACCCCTTCACCACTGATCCCTCCAGTTCTGAGATCCCTACTTCCTGATGTCCTCCTGTCCTTTGGGCTTCCTCACCCTGTTACTCAGCACATCAGGTTTTCTACTCCACTGGCATCTCCAGCTCCTCAGTCCTCCCCTTTTTTTCTGGATCCATCAGTCACCTCCTGGTTGTATCTATTTTCCTAAGAAGCCCAGGGGCGCCTGGGTGGCTCAGTTGGTTAAGCATATGACTTTGGCTCAGGTCATGATCTCATGGTTCATGAGTTCGAGCCCCATATTGGGCTCTGTGCTGACAGCCAGAGCCTGGAGCCTGCTTCGGATACTGTGTCTCCCTCTCTCTCTGCTCCTCCCCTGCTCTCTCTCAAAAATAAGTAAACATTAAAAAAAATTTTTTAAATTCCTTCCCTCAGAAGCCCAGGCGCCCCATGGGAGTAGGTCAACCACACTCTCAAACACCCGATCTGTTGTCATTGTTTGAGCTTCTCTAAAACTCAAAATCCCAGAGCAATCAAATTATCCTCTCCCTGCACTCACTGCCAGATTATGGTTCTGCCAGAGGAAAAGCACGCTGCAGTACAGATGAGGCCACCACAGACCCCCGTCCCTAAGCACAGCTCGGCTCACGAGCCACCATTCCGCTCCATGCCCTCCCCTCCCCCAAGCCCTACGAGTCCCCACCCCTGCCCTCCCCACGGTGGGCCTGGCTCCCCTTCCACACACAGAGAGAGAATCGGGGTGATCAGACATGCACTTCCTCCATTTCACACCCTTTTACCTAGAAAATTACTGTCCTTACCACTCATCTCCTCTTTCTCTCCAATGTCAAAAGAGGAGGTGTTGTCTTCTTTTTTGAGGCTAACACATTCGACCCACCATCTCCTGGGACTTCTACTCCATTGATCATTTCCTCTCAAATCTGTCTTCAACTTTCCCTTTTCCACCGGCTGCTTCTCCTGGGCACACGCTCAGTCCTCTCCATCTTAAAGCAGCTGTCTGTCTCTGTCTGTCTCTTCCCCCTCCATCTCTCCCTTTCTCCTACACACACCGGAATTCCCCCTCAACTCTACATCCACTGTGCGCTGTCAGGTAACACCTTCCCTCCTCTCCCTCCCTTTCCCTGCAGGAAAAGGCTCCTGGGAAGAGTCCTAACATCCTCTCCTTGCGTTTACTCCTAACCCCCCTCCACCTCTTTCCTGAAGTGGCAATTGCAATATCATTGAATTAAGGTGCTCAGTCCTCGACCATCCTAAGACCCTGGATATCAGTTACTTTCTGTCCTTGGTTCTTCGAGACTCTTAGTTTCTTCGACAGTGTTCCACCTGGGCCCACTCCTTCTCAATCTCCACCTTCACTAGGTTGGTGGACCTCGACCAGACTTTTTAAATTCTCGTTTTTCTTGGTCTACGTTGTCTGTGTTTCTCCTCTATACCCATTGCCTCAACTACCAGCAATATGTTGAAAATTCCCCAATCTATACCTAAGACTTCCCTCCCAGCCCCGGCCCATTTTGTAACTGGTTGTCCGACCAGGATTTGGTAACCAAGTCAAACCCAAAGTCATCCTCTTTCTAACCAAGCCTGCTCTGTATTTCTGCACTTGATGAATGGTACTACAATCCACCCAGCTGCCCAAACCAGAACACTCTGAGCCACCTCAGAGTTCTTCCTCTTCTCCTTATCCCACATTTACAGGTGGATGAGTCTATGTTTCTAATGGTTCTTGGACCTGTTCTTTCCTCTCGGGCCATCCTCTCTTCTTGCTGTGCCCCCCTCTGCAACAAGTAAGATTGTATCTCTAAAACAGTGTAATCACGATGCTCTCTTAACATTTCTTACTACCTCTCATCACTTAGGAGGGGAATCAGTTTCTCAGCATGGCTCACAAGGACGGGTCTGTAAGAGTTGCCGGGCCCATGACCCGCCTTCTGCCCCTCTACCCAACAGGTCCCTTGTGGTCAGGCCAAACTCCTGGTGGCTCTCTCCATCCTCCCTCCCTTTGATCACTTTGCTGTCCCATGGGGGATTTGGGGGTCACCATCCCCCTTGTTGTCTAACAAATCCCAACTCATCCTTTATGCCCAGTGTAGCCCTCCACACCCCTCCCGGCTCTCCCGGGGCAGTTGGCTGTCCCTCCTCTCTGTCCATTCCTGCAGTCTAAGCGTGTCACATTGCCATGGAACTATTGGCTTTGCAGCTCCTTCTCCAGACTCTGGACTCTTTGTAGAGAGAAAGTTGAGTCTTGATCATCTCTTTGTCACCAGAGCCTAGCAAGGTATCTGGCTATAATAAGCATTTAGTAAATACTTGCAGAAGAAAGGAAAGAAGAAATCAGGATTTGTTATAAAGCATACCCAAACTGGGGGATAAAATTATTTTCTAAACTTTACTAGTAAAAATCCACATATAAAGACTGAGATGAGGCACCTGAAGTCACCCGCTACCCTAAGAACAAGCAAATCCGCAAATCCTTCCCTTCCTTCTCAGTCTTTCACCTGCCAGAGTTCACCACTTCAGCCATTCTCCTGCCAACCTCTCCGTACCCTCCCTTCCTTATCTTTCTGCCACTGCTTCCCAGCAACATTCAACCTTAGGCCAATCCAACCGTCTGCCTTCCCTGCTTTCACAACCAGGCTGGGAGCGGTGCTGGAGTAAAACCACACACAGCTGTGGACCGGAGCCACCCAGAGTCAGGACTATGACCTCAATTGACCCTTCGACATTATCACGCACTATTTCACATTCCCCTTGCTGTCCCCTGTTACTGTTTTCTAAACCTTGGGCATATTCTCAAGCCTCATTGCCTCCCCACCCACCCTGTTCCTCTCTGCAGAAAAACCTACCTCCTCCTACTTCCCTGTAGAAGTTGAGGACATCAGATGGGAATGTCTTTAACTTCCTAGACTCCCACCTCCTAGTTTCGTAGAACTTTGCCGTGCAGCTCAGGAGGAGTGTCCCTTCCCTAGGCAGGCTAGCAGCACCTCTGTATCTGACTTCTCCTGTCTCCACGGAAATGAGACTCATGACTGTCCCCTTCCTCCTGAACCTATCTACTGGGCCATTGCCCTCCTGCTTGCACATCTCAAAGCAAAACAAGATGGACCACGCAGGCCTCCATCTTCCATATCTTTTAGCTTCTATCCTCTACCCCGATAGTCAAGTGTCTTTACAGATCTGTGTATCTTAATATTTCAAACACTTCAGAAAAGTAGAGAATAAATGCCTACTTTGTTGGTTTCTCACAAAACGTGACAAATAGAGCTGAAACTCCCTTTGAGCCCCTCCTCAATCTCATTACCTTCCTTCCTTCCTTCCTAGAGGCAACTGCTGACCTAACACTAGTCAGCCTGGCTGTGGTTACATGCTTGTGCTGCAGTCTGCGTATACATTTGCCATATTACCTTCGTGTACGTTTTACGTAAATGGTAGCATGGTTTTCATATTCCTCAACTTGCTTCTTATTCAACATTACAGTTTCAAGATTTATCCTTGTTAATGCACCTCACTCTAGTGCAATTTAATTTTTGGAGAGCACCCCATTAAGCGACTGTATCACCACTTACTGTCCAGTTTCTTAGAAGACTAGTTCCTACTCTTCGTCATCTCTCTGTCTGCCCTCCCATCTCCTCTTTAACTCTCTCCGGCTCGCCTCCCACCCGCATCCCACCATTTGTCACATCTCCAGTGGTGTGTCCCACGGGCACTTTCAGTCCTTATCTTTCTGGACCTCTGTGCCACATTCTTGTCTGGATTACTTCTTCCTCCCGAGGCTCTCCTTCCTTTCTGAGCTCTCAATCGCCATCTCCTCCAAGAATGATTCCTCTTTTGCTGTCCCCCTAGATCAGTGGTTCTCAATAGGTGGGAGAGGGGGCAATTTTGTGCCACAAGGGACATTTAACAATGTCTGGAGACACTGGTTGTCATAGGGCAGGTGGCATCTAGTGGGTATAGGCTGGGGATGTCGCTAACAGCCTATGGTGATAGGACAGCCCACACCGCAAAGAGCTATCCGGCCCCACACGCTAACAGTGCCAAGGTTGAGAACCCCTGGTCTAGAGATTGGTCTTCTACACGGTTCCGGTCTGACCCTTCTTTCCTTCTGATGCTCTACTCCTCTTGCATCACCTTACCTGCTCTTTGGAGCCTGTTGAAACAGCTGGACAGGCTGGCATATTTCCTAGGATTCCTACCTGACAGCTTTCCTTGGGGGCTAGACTTACCCGGATGCTGGGCCGCTCGGGGGGGACCTCGGACACCATGTTGTGGTTGGATGTGTCACTGCTAGTGATAGCCGGGCGTTTTCCACCTGCCTTATTGGACATGTCCAAGGCCGATCTGATTTCAGGTTGACAAAAAGAGAAGAAAGGGACTGGTCAGAACCCAGAAAGAATGGAAGGGCCCCAGCTGTACTCCCTACCATGCTAACCACTGTTCCGGCATCAGCACAAAATCCCATTTGCTAAGTGCTACCAAGAGGTCACCTTGGCTGCTCCCTCCACTCTTCTGAGATCACATGCCAGTAATCTCGGCTGGACATTTTCCTTTCTTTCCTATAAATTTATTCTAAAAACCTAGACCTTAGGACTCTGGATCTCCTCTTCCTTCTAAAAGACACAATGCCTCAGTGGATATGAGAGTCATTTAATTATCTTTCTTTTCCTTTCATCCACTGAGCCGAGATCCACAGTGAGAGGAATTCACATTTGGCTCTCAGGGTTATGTCACCTTCCTTCCGCACCTCCCTCAAAGGCCTCTGGGTGATATGCCCACCTCAAACCTATCTCACTCCTCCAGCCTGAGATCTGGGAGAGGCTGGGAAAAGAGAGCATCAAGCTGGATGGCTCTTAGAAGTTTCCATTCCTCAGGACTGAGGTGAGAGACCCTAAGTCCCTCTGCTTTCCACACCCCCTCTTCCCCTTCCCAGCTGCATAGTGGCATTTGGGGGGTGGTGGTGAAGGCTGGACAGGTCAAGCAGCCAGTGGGGAGCAGACGTACGTTTTCAAGTTAAATTTTTTGTTTTCTTCTGGGACCTGGCCAGTCACTGGGTGTAGAAATGTGTTCCGTCTTTCATTGTGGCTGTGGAGGCAAAAAAAAAAAGAGAGAGAGAGAGAGAGAGAGAGGTTGTAATAAAGATGGAGAAGGCAGAGGCACAAGCCAAAGGGTGGGTGGACCCTGGGGAGTGACAGGGCCGGGTGGCCACATGGGAGATGGTCCCTCTGCCATCTGTGGGGTCCAGGAGAGGCTGGATGGAGGGCTGGTCTGTAGAAAAAGCAGCCTGCAGTCAGGTGGGGGGTAGGGAGACACCTTTCATTAGTCAGTGCGGACTAGTTATAGAGGTCCCTGAAGCTGGAAATACGCCCCACTTAACCCCTTCGGTGGTGACCTTGGGCTTGTGAGTGAGTGGGGGGCGGGAGTCTCCAACAGCCAAGGCTTCACGCGGGGCAGTTTCTCTCCCAGGAACCGCGCCTGCCGGTGCTCCACATAAAAATTGCTCACTCATTATTCGCTGAAAGAATTCTCTTGTGACCTTGAACTCCTTTCTCTCCTGTTTTATGTTGCATCTCTTTCTTTAAGCAAAACCAGAGATCCAGAAACTCCATTCCTGAGCTCGGGCTGGGACCCGCTCAGACTCCGAGTCCAGGGTCTCCGCGTCTAAGGGGCTACTTGACATAGCTGAGACCTCAAGGACTGTCAGGCATCGAGGTGAGTGCCAGCTCCCCAGTCAGATCTAATTAAGGGGTGCCACAGCCTGGGGTGGGGTGGGGGGGTGCTGTACAGGCTGCTGGCAAGCAGGGTCTGTGCAGAGGCAGATGGGGAGCAGGGCCGTGGAGGCTCCCTTGGGAGGTCCTGCTGTGGCTCTCTGGCTGGCCGAATGTCAGCCTAGTTTCTTGGTGGCTTTTGGGGAGCTGGGGGAGGAAAGGGGTAGTCTGTGAGACAGTCTGTGGAAAGGGTAGCAGAGAGAACTTAGAGGGCGGCTGGTGCCGCAGGACTAAGCCACAAATGGCAGCCACTGAAAATGGATTCTGCGAACAGGGGACCGCTCGGCAAGAATATTGTAGGATTCAAGCATCTAGCCAGTGGGGGACTGGATGAGTGGTAAGGTCCTCTTCACTCATCCCTCGTGAGAACTCCTGTGAGAGCCCAGAGCAGGCTCAGTCCGCCCCAAGAAGCAGGCGCCTGAACATGCCAAGCTTGGGGCGCGGGGGTCCTGACACCAGGCCCATTGAGCACTCCGACAGCGAACAGCCAGGACTGCCTGGCACACGGCACCCCAGCTGGCACCCAAGGAAAGAGGGCCTCACTTGGTCCCTTCAGCTCCATGAGAGAAGTAGCCTTTGGGAGATCCCTCCTCAATAGTCCGGGAATCTCAGCCCTTGGGCTGTTTGCTGGAGCTAAAGATAATACCAAATGGTGTTTTGTTTGTTGGTTTGTTTCAGCTTCCAAACCAGCCATGTTCAGATCAAATTCGAAGTCCTGGGCAGAGAGAAACCCAATGGGCAGTGGCCACAGTCTAGGTGGAAATCTAGGGTTTTGCAGCCCGGGCTCGCCAGCTGGGACCCTAAATCTGGCCAGTGTCCACCAGGCCTGGGCTCTAACTCCAGCATCTTGCTAACCTGCTCCCCACTTCTCAAACTTTACTCCCCCCTCCCTCCAACAGGGATGCTCTCCTTAACTACAGGGGACCTTTGCAAGGAAGGGTAACTGTTCCTAGTCACCCCCCCGTCCCTGCCTCTCCCCCATGTGGGAGGTGAGCAGTTTGTGAAAATAAGGTCCTCAAGGTGCCAAGATCGCTGCTTTTTCCCGGCGGCACAGAGCGCCTGCTCCCCACCTCCCACGGCCACCCTGCCAGTCCCTGTCTGCTCTACATGTTTGTTCCCTGTGCTCACTGCTGGAACCTTCCCCGCACGCACTGATACAGACAGACAGACAGACACACACACACACACACAAGCACACACACAGTCTGTTGTCAGCCGACACAGGTCTCTCAAGGCACCGTGAATCGCTCCCTGCCCCAGACTCTCCTACCCAGCACCCCCTACAAATGACGTCCTCTCTCCATCCCGGCGCTACCAATTTCAAAATAGCTTCCCCTTCACAAAGCACTGCAATGCAGCAGCCATTGACCTAACTCCTCTTTCTTCCGCAGGTCAGGTCCGGCAGGGCCCTGGCTCAGAAGCCCCCGACCCAGCGGGCTACCCGTCAGCCTGCTCTCCGAACTCGGCTCCCACTCCACCGAAGGTCTCCCTACCTGGCCCGCCGATCAGCCCGAAACTTCAGCATCCTTTTGGCAGCTCCGTGCCCTGCTCGGCAGCCTCAGAGGACCTGCCAGCCACCCAGCTCCTACCATCCCTGTGAGAAGTAAGTCCTCCGGTCCCGATGGCCAGCTCAGGGCGCGAGGGTCTCCCTCCCCCTGGCTCCGGCACTAGGCGAGGGGGAGGGGCTCTCCCTGGGTGGGAGAAGGGGGCACCCAGGTGCGCCTGTGGCTTCCTAGCATCCAGCCCCCGTGCTGCCGGCTGAGTGCTGGAGGCAGAACAAGCGAGCAGGGATGATATCCTCCCCGTTCAGGTCCCCAAGGAGAAAGCGCTGAAACCGAGAGGCAGGCGTACGCGGAGCAGGTGTACAACTTCCAGGTAGTCCGACCTCACTGAGCTAAGGACACAGAGGAGCTGGGCAGGCGGAGCCGTCCGGGGCCGCACTCCCATGTGCACGGCCCAACCTGCAGGAAGACGGCCTTTCCTGCCTCCTGACCCCCCAGCTGGGAAGACAGGTCCCTGGGGCTGAAGTCCATGGGCTTCTCAGAGACCCTTCTGATCCCGTAGGCACGAGGGTTAAGTGAAGCTCTAGACTCGCGTGCTGCTGTTGCTGCCGCTGCCGAGAAGCTGAGATTAAGTTTCCCAGACTTCTGTGCAGACAGGGCACAGTGAACGGGGCTTCTGTGCAGCACTCCCCCCCCAACGCACTTCTTAGGACACAGCCCTGGCTGGCTTGCTCTCCGCTTGGGGGCCAGCGGAGGGGCACGTGCAGCCAGAGCTGGTGGCAAGGACCTGGCTTCTTTGCTCTGGTGAACTGGAAGGAAAGCTTCCTCCCAGAGCTTGCAAGGAAGAGGGCAGCAAACAGGGCTCAGAGGGGGGTCACCCTGTGTTTACTTCTGCAAATCTTCCCAGATGCCATATGATAAATCCCAGCTGGCGACAGTCAGATCTGCTCAGGGGCAAAGGAGGTCTGCATCGCCGTGAGGTTCCCTGAACTCTCCGGGGGCCGAGGACGGTCAGATCTCCCCTTTCCCTGATGTCCTCTGAGTCTGAGGGTCCTTGGACTTCGAGGGCCTTCTGAAGGTCATCTCTTCCATCCCCCTGCCTCCAGGCAAGCTCACTCTGCAATCAATCTCATTAAGTGCCCTGGCTGTTCACAAAGGGTTCCAGCAAGGGAGGCTCCAGACCCACTGTTACCTTCTGTTGCCGAGTTGTTCTTTTTTGATATCAAATTTCAGTTCCTCCAGTTTTCTATATTATTCCAGTTCTGCCTTGGGGTGACAGAATCCTTCCTGACCAGCGTGGTCCATTGTAGCCGCACCGGGCATTCTGTTGACATCATAGTCTGTTGCTACGGCAATTCTGTGATGTCACAACAGACACTGGGAGGGGAGGGCTAATCTAATTTTTTGGATTGAGGTCAGAACCCAGGCAGAGTGCAGTGCAATCAGTGAATGCAAACGCTAGTGGACAACATTATTATTTAACTGTGATGAAACAGGCTGGTTGATGCCAGCCAGGGTCAACAGCTGCTGATATTTAAGCAACTAATCCTAAATCCAAACGGTCAATACATTCAACCATTTAGTGATACTTTTGCAAATGGTGACAAGAGCCTTCGCTTGCCAGGTCCTATGTCTCTCTGTCCCAGCCCAATTATTTGAGCCCCGCTATGGTCGTGGGGATTAGGGTCCTCCCCTGGTGCCAGCTTGAGGTCTCTGCCTGTGCACAGTAGGCGCCTAATAAATATTTGTTGAATCAATGAGTGAATGAATGAACGAACAAAGGAAACTCTCCATGCTCTGACTTAATTTTTAGCCACCTGCATTTGGGAGTTTGACATTCTATTACCAAGGGCCTCTCTATCTTTGCGCTCTCTTAAAATTAATTACTTCCTCTCCATGAGAGAAGCTCTGTTTTTGCCCCCCTCGCCCCTTCACTCAGCTCCCCTGCCTGGCTCCCCGTTGAATATATAGCTTGGCTTTGATCCATCTTCATTAGGAGGGGAAGGAAATTAAGCTCATCTGTACAAGAGGAGGGAGCAGGGGTGCATTGAGAAAATGAGTTTTCTTCCTCTAGAAGGCAAAAATATCCCCTTTCTCTTCAGGCTGAGCTCAGGAGCCTCCCACAGGCTTTGCTTACGTTGTAAGTTAAATTACCTCTCCCATCCAGTGAAGCTAGCACAAGGGAGGAGGAAGGAAGGCTGGGGGGGGTTCCCCCTGCTCGTTGGGGGCTCTGAAATCCCTAGGGTTCAGGCACACTGAATGCCTAGCTGGGGTTCTTTTCCTCCACCACTAAACTGCACAGAATGACAGGTGGTCATTTTAGGGTAGACATCAAGAAGAACTTACCAGGTGCAGAATATTGTAAAAGGGAAACAAAGATAGGTGATTCGTTTTTTTCTCTCTTATTTCCTTGATTTTTTGTTTGTTTGTTTTTTGGGGGGGAATTCAAAGACCTCCATTTCCCAGGAACAAATAGTTATGAATGAATCTCCAAATAGCCCTCCTGATCCCACCCAAAAAGGGGAGAATCTCAAGCAGTCTCAAGGAGATTTTGTGAGGGAACATCCTTAAACTCCTAGGTCCCCCACTGTGCCTCCAATGGTGGCCCCAATAGCAGTGTCACCAGTGGAAAGAAAATTTGGCCACACCGGGCTTTCAGTCCAAGATCCAACGGGAATTAGAGGTGTGACCTGACTTCTTTGGCTCTTCGTTTTCTCGTGTGCAAATGAGGTACCTTCTCATTCTATGAAAATAATAGCTGTAAACTCGCAGAATGTGAAATGTTTTATGCATAAGAGGTAATGGTGATGATTAA